CACTCAATGTACTTTGTTCATCTGGTTACTATTCCTTTTTTTAATTTATTTAGTTTTGCTTCTTAACTAGCTTTTAACCCTCGCCCGTAAACGGCGATCTGCCACCTTCGCCCATGCAGGGGGGGGTTGGTGCGACCCCCCTTGGCGTTTGAAAACGGAGCGTCGTAGAGCTTAGCGGAAAAGACCAACGGATTGCTCTCGCCGAGATCTTGCGATTGGTGGTATATTTTTGGTCCTAGGTCAACATTTGACTACTTTTGACCGGTCAAAGGTCAAATTTTCGGAAAAATAGACTTTTTTCAACTTTCCGCGGCGAGTGCGGCAAAACGGTGGGAGATATCGACTTGAAACCTTCACTATCGTGTTCCTTGATCAATTCTCTATCGTTTGGTATGTATTTCGTTTCCCTAGCTCTAAAAATGGCGCGTTGGGAGCGCCGGAAGTCGGCAAGGTCACAGTCGGCGGCAGAAATTCGAAAAATCAAAATTTAAATTTTTGAAATCTGATTGTATTTTTGGATTTGGAAGGTCCATTTTCTCCCTATAGAAGCTAATATTGCTGCATATTCCCATTGAGGTGACAAGAATTAGCAAAATAGTGGTTCGGGCGCTTTTCAAAAATAGTACCGGACGCTGTTCCTCTTGTGACGTCATAGCTCCGTGACCTGACCTGACCCGGTCAAGTTTCTTATACCATATGATAGCCAATACTTGCCCCAACATGCATGGGAAGTTTCATCACGATCCATCAACCGATGTCCGTACCACCGGCAGGAAACCTCGGGCGTTGGCACTCAGTTTGTGAAAATCCGGCCGGAGGCTGTTCCCTTTGTGACGTCATAACTCCGTGACCTGACATGACCCGGTCAAATTTTTTTTACCAAAAGATGCGCAAGGTTTGCCCCATAAGGTACCCAAAATTTGGCGGCGCTGCGCGCCGCCGTTTTTGCACTATTTCCAAAAAACCTCAGGGGGGGGGGGTTGCACCAACCCCCCCCCTACATGGGCGAGGGTTAAGATAACACGCCTCCCAACAAATGAAACCCGGAGACGACGCATTAGTCCTTTTCTCGTATTTCTTTCCACTACCGCCTAGCTAGTTACGAGTGTCATTCGGTGAGCCTCGGCACACCTAACTGCCATCATAAGGAACTTCCGCGCGAAATAAGCAAGACGTACGCGCGCCCATCTGGTCAGGATGGCCTCTGTGGTGCATTTTGGCGGGAACCAAATTGGCGCCGGCGTGCCACTTCTACCCGCCTTTTCTTGGTCTGGGCGTGTGTTACACATGGGCTGGGGAGCCTGAGATGTGAGGAAAAGTCTTATGTGGTGCTGCATATTGTGCACATGTGTAAGACCTTATTTCAGCTTATGCCGATGTTATTGGATAACATTACTTGGTGCATTTCGTTTTAGCTGTTCAGAAACTCAGCTTCTTTGCTGTATTATGTCCAAGGCACTCGGCTTGTTTTGACACACTCAACAGAAGCTAACAAGCTAAAGCAATGATTGCATCATTTCTGGCAATGTTCCCAGGCGTTGGTTGGCTGAGCCTTTTGTTGGGTTTAAAGAGAGTGGGATGTTGATAACATGCTTGTAATACTCAGGTTTTTTGTCCGGTCATCGGGTAACAGGTTAGCGTTTGGCGAAAGAGTTGCGAGAGGTAAAGCAGAGAGGGGAGTTAATTGCACGGTATGTACTGCGCGGGAACTGCTAACTACAAGTAAAACTACCACTATAACTACAACTGTAAAAGTCGAAATGCTAAAAATGTGAAATTTTAATACAATACAGTATATTATTTTTTATGACCCAACAAGAAATGACGCTTTATAAACATTCCAAAGCGGAATTAAAAATAGCGCATCATAAAACTCATACAATACATATAAATGAGTAGGCTGCCAAAGTGATACCCAACTGCTAAGTCATCATCATTACATTTTCTCTGTCATCGCTCACATTTCCTCTCTCATACTTGGCTTCATTTTCATTCCACACTAGCACAGCCTTAGATATAACCCGAAAATAACCAAACAAAAGAGAAAGTGAGCGAAAATCGAGCAGTGGGTAATACAATAGTCGCTCAGCCCACATCCAATTAGAAATCATGGCACAATTCATATCCGTCGGCCCTTTCCACGGACACACTGACACGTCTGGTTATAGGGTCAAATATGGCATCATCGAACTGCTCTCTTGTCTGCCCCCCCCTCTCTCTCTCTCTCTCTCTCTCTCTCTCTCTCTCTCTCTCTCTCTCTCTCTCTCTCTCTCTTTCTCTCTTGTCTCTGTCTCTGTCTCTCTGTCCCTCTCTCTCTCTCTCTCTCTCTCTCTCTCTCTCTCTCTCTCTCTCTCTCTCTCTCTCTCTCTCTCTCTCTCTCTCTCTCTCCATCTCTCGACGTGCATATCATACACTTGGATCCACCACTCCTCACTCTCTCTGGCCCTACTCCGCACTCTGCCTACCCTCCATGGTAGAGAACGGGCCCATTTCCCTGGGAGCCTCTCTAACGCATATGACATCCTCAAGCAATAATATGAGCGCACACCACCGGCCCTCTCGGCATTGAGAAGTCCAACTACCGTACTCTGAGAGTCCTCTCAGCATTGAGAAGTCCAACTACCATACTCTGATGGTCCTCCTGCATTGAGAAGTCCCACAGCTCGGCCACGCCTCCTCAGGACGAGACTAAGGTGGCCTGATAGAAGGAGGGAGGAGGGGAAGCGGGTAAATGGAAGAGACAGTCGGTCTTGTTTAGGGAGAAGGTAAAGGATGCGTAGCGATTGAGGAAGTGCTTTGGAAAGGGATTTAATTCGCTTTGGCTTGGTTTAACCCGCGCCCTGGTGGGGTCTGTTTATAACGCGACCTGGTGGGGGGGGGGGGGGCTATTTTTTGCCCCCCCCCCCTCGTATCTCCGAAACTACTGGACGGATCCGCAAAATTCAAACGGCGTTCGAAAGGCCTGTCAAATTTGTCGAGGGAAACCAAATTTCACGGTTTCCCTATTTTCAAATTTCACCAAATTTCACCGTTCACGGGTCATCTAGGGAATGCGCTATAACACCGAAGAAAACGCATTTTGTCGAGAATCAGCGATAGGGCGTCAGTTGCCTAGTACATGTATTGCTATAAGAGGTCACTGACATTACCAGGTCACAGGTCAGGTCACCAAGGGTCACAGGTCAGGTCACATGAACCTAACTTTAGGTACTAAGGTTGTGCGATGCATGTTTTATGGCCAATTTTTCATTTCCAACTCAATGGTGTTGGTTATAAGACTATCAGGTACGGCTTAGGCCATTTTCTGGTGGAGGTCAGGTCAAGGTCAGGTCAAAAAAGGTCAAATTTCAAAGTTGATATTTTTGCATAAAATGGGTATTGATTCGATGCAGCTCGTCACGGGGAGTCTAATGGTGGTCTTTGTTTTGCGCTACGAGGTCTAGAATTGCAAAAAATTGAGTTTGAAAATTTGACGTCATCAATTTTGAACAGTTTTTTCGCTGTAACTTGGCCAAAAAAAGAGGTATCGATCTCAAATTTTGTATGTAGATAGAAGGCGGTAAGGACTATCACATATATTCCGGTTTTTTCGAAATTCAAAAAACTTTTTGGATTTTTCGGCTATTATAATCAAAAAATCTATTTTTTGATTTTTAGGGGTCAAAATCCAAAAATTTCAAAAATCCGAGATAGCAGTTTTGTAGCCCTGTTAATTCTACAGCTTTTATGTCTTTATCGTTTTTCTGTATTTGCAAAGCTATAGGCCTGACAGCTCTTCCCGCGAAACCCTTTTTTGGGTCGAAAACGGCAGAACATGACGTCACTCTGACGTCATTTCCGGCCAACCTATCATAGTCTTTGGATAAATTTTTGGTCACAATGTGTAAAATTGATGTCCGGGAGGGTACTGAAAGTTTGGTGACGATCGGCGCAGCGGTTCTGGAGATATATCGAAAAGTCTGGAGGGGGGGCAAAAAATAGCCCCCCCCCCCCCACCAGGGCGCGGGTTAATGTGGGGTCAGGGATTTTCAATCTTCACCTATGTTCTAATGCTTGCTGGAGTTGGATGCTAGTTAGTGGGTTTCGTTATAATGAATGTCTTACCCAGCAAGCTCGTAATGACATTTTAGACAATTTGTCACAGCATTCGACAAGTGTCGTACCAAGTGACATTTCCTCGCTCTGACCAGCGACTATCGTTCCTTTGGTCTCACTAGTGACTAGTGACTAGTGACTAGTGCCGACTCATCTTGTCGAGCTCCAAAGCCGTTATTGCTGAGCTTCTCAAAGCCATCCTCTAGTTATCTCAGTCGCGCCTTACAGTATCCGTTCAGCTACTTGTTCTGGGCACAAGTGTTTCTGGAACCCTTGCGCGGTGTGCTATTCTGAAAATGATGGAGGTCGTGCGATTGATCTTTCCTAGGATCTACCTTACACACTATTACACATGTGTCAAACCGGATCACCCTATATCAACTGACGAGAAACGCTCCCAACGCTTGATTGGCTATCTATCATGTCTGCGTGCCTTCATCTGGAAGCAATCGAGCCTACGTGCCTTCGCAAATAGGTAATTCAGTGAAGCCATTACAGGGCATATTCCGGCGTTTGCGAGCGTAGCGATATTTACACTCAAATTGCGCCAAGGCACTCAGCGTGTGTTATATATCTCTACGTGGTCTTGTGTGGCGTGATATGATGAATACCTCCAACTCAGGCCGTCTGAATCAATGTCGAACACGCTGAATCAAACTGACGTGCACTGATTTCTTGTGAGGTAGGATTTCAAGAAATTTTCTTTTCTGAAATCCTCAGGAAGTGTGTTGCTATCATTGAGAATTGAGATCTTATATATCTTATATAAGGTCTTTGTGATTGCAGTGACTGGCTGGCAAATATTAAACGCCCGATGACACTCATTCTTATCTTCATGTTTGTGTCTTTGGTATTTTTCCTTGTAACATACGTCAACCATCAACGATCGTTTTCTTGGCAGATCTCGACCTCGACGGAGCTGCGTAACGCCTCCTGTGTCGTTTCCGGCCATTATCCGGGCCGCCGCTCGCCGGAAACGCACCGGCTCCTGGGCCGGAAGTCGGCTACTTCCGGTACGACTTCCGCGGGAAGTGGAGGCCATCGACACGATATTCTCCTGGAGAAGGATATGATACGACTGATGGCGAGAGAATCGTAAGTGACGGGGCAGTGGGTGGGATAGAGTATTTGTTCGGATATTCGTGGAGGGGTCATACCCGGGTATGTGACTTGAAAAGACCACACACTGTGTTCGCTACATACTGAGTGGTGTGCTCGCTAGATGCTGTAGTAAGCGGGAATACAGCTGGAGGTAGGCTGTTAGCGTTCATGGCCAAGTGACTCTAGCAAAATATGAACTCGTACACGTTTGCCGTATTCTTATAGGTATGTCCATACCTCCGTCCGTTTCCTATGTCGTGCCAAGGCCGTATAAGATGGCGTGCCTATTTCTCCTTCCCACTGCTGTATTTCACCTCCCCTCCGTGTCCTCGGCTCGTGCCGTGTATCGTGTCGCTCCCTTTGCCGTGGAGTGGTGTCGTGACGGTAAGTAATGTGCACCCGGGCGCCGGCAGCCCGGCCTTTATCGCCGGGATTGGAGGCCGCACGAACAGGCTGTGATGATGGAGAACTGGGGTGGTGTGTGTGGGGGGGGGGGATGGAGGGGATTGTGGGGGTTGTACCACCAGGTCAAGGGGGGGGGGAGCAGGGGTCATGGGTGATCGGTGGTTGGGAAGGTGCTGAAAAGTGTTTGATGGTGGTTATTTTTGTGTGAGCTATTTGACTGAAAATTTGAAGTGGTGGATGGAAACTACAGTTTTGATTGGTGTCAGCTGCTTCCGTTTTGTTGTGGATGTTGTGTGGTATATTGTAAAATTTGGTCCCTATAACTAATTTAGGAAAGCTGTAGTGTTAAGTTAACGACCGTTGTCCTTAATGAAAGCTAAAAGCTTGCACTTTCCGGAATTCAATTTCGTTGTTGGATTACTATCAAGCGGAGTTTCTTAAAATCGCGTTTCGTGAAACTGTTATCCCTGCTTTAAATGTTTTAGGGACAACATCATTTCAACCCTTTCATCTCCAAGCTTCGAATGACTCGCTCTGTCGGCACTTTGATGGAAAGGAAACATTCCGCATGACTATTTGTCTCTCCACAGAACATCGGCCGAAAACCTGGCCACCTCCACTCCCAACCAGTCACTGGTGGCGCCATCTGGCGGAGCGACGGTGGCGCCGCCACACGGCACTCTGCGGAGACGCCGTCCGGTCCGCCGTAAACCCTCTGCGCTGTACGGCCCCCGGCCGGGCCGGCCCGAACCAGGAGAGAGGGTCTTCTGCGGGCCGGAGTTTGTCATCAGGGCCCGCGAGAAACCGCGGAGGATTGACCTGACTCAGGTGAAGGAACGGGTGGGGTTGAATGTGTTTGAACATCGGGGTGCAATGTGGAAAGATCGGCTCTCACAATCGTTCTGAAGAATATATTGTTGCATCTTACATGGGCTTGGGCAGAAGTGAAGCGAATAATAGCAGAGTAAAAAAAATGGCAACAGGATGTTATTCTAGACCATAAAGCCAGCGTCAATAGCATTGACTTAGTATGTCGTGCTTATCGTTATACTGACCCCCAATACAACGCCCGAACGCACCCCATAAGGTACCGACCCAACCCCCGAACGTATACTCTAAAGAACCCTCTAACGTTCCTCCTCCCCCACAATTACAGAAGTCGTCGGTATCCGGCTGTGTTCTGGTGATCCTGCTCAACGGTCAGAAACTGGAGATCGGCTGTCAGCCGGACACCCATACTGTGGCGGACGTCACCAAGGTAGGACTATGACGTCATCACTGCGGGGTCTGGGAGGGGTATGGTGGGTAAGGACGGGACTGTCAACCCAACACCCATACCGGGGTTGATGTCACCAAGGTAGGACTACGGCACCATTTTCTTGGAGGGATGGGAGGGACTGGATGGAGGGCTTGCCTTATTTACATTTTTTTTACCTAGTCTGTTTGGCTCGAATGAATTTGTTACGGGCCTTATGCTTGGGTCAAGTTTTCAACTTGGTGTGTGCATAACACAATTACGGCGTGACATCAAGTTTACTTTGATTTTACCATGCTCGGAACTTTGAAGCTGTTTTGATGCCAATTGTGTTATCGCATTGTCGACTACCAACCATTCGCTTTGACCCTCTCTGACCTAACCCTGACCCTCCCTGACCCCAGTTAACCCCAGATGACCCCAGCGGACGTAAACCCTGACCTCCTGTGACCCCGTTTGACCTTCCCGACAGGCTGTATTCGAAGAGGAGCCCTACCCCCCCCCCCCACACCTCCCTGCTCAGACTGACCTGACCTCACTGACCCCCCCTCTCCCCCGACAGGCGGTATTTGAAGAGGAGCCCTACCCCCCCCCCCCCACACCTCCCTGCTCAGACTGACCTGACCTCACTGACCCCCCCTCTCCCCCGACAGGCGGTATTTGAAGAGGAGCCCTACCCCCCCCCCCACACCTCCCTGCTCAGACTGACCTGACCTCACTGACCCCCCCTCTCCCCCGACAGGCGGTATTTGAAGAGGAGCCCTACCCCCACCCCTCCCTGCTCGGACTGACCTGACCTCACTGACCCCCCCCCCCGACAGGCGGTGTTTGAAGAGGAGCCCTACCCCCACCCCTCCCTGCTCGGTCTGACCCAACCCTGACCTCACTGACCCCCCCCTCCCCCGACAGGCGGTGTTTGAAGAGGAGCCCTACCCCCACCCCTCCCTGCTCGGTCTGACCCAACCCTGACCTCACTGACCCCCCCCCCCTCCCCCGACAGGCGGTGTTTGAAGAGGAGCCCTACCCCCACCCCTCCCTGCTCGGCCTGGCTGTGTCAGCCGACGGCGAGTTTCTGTTTCCACCGCCGGCCACCAGGCTCAATAAGGCGCTAGTGTCGCCGGCCGGCAGCAGACAGCTGACGCTCTACCAGAGGTTCAAACTCTACCCTACCGCCGACACTCTGCCAAAGTACGTGTTGACTGTGTGTGTGTTGGTAAAATACTGCCGGCCAAAGGAAGAAACGCGTAACTCGTGTTTCGTAAATCTGTATGTATGGTCACTTTCCGCTGCATCAGTGAGTCGTTCCATTATAACTTTTCGTGTTTTACGTGTAATGTAATCAGCATTCTGATATAATCTGAGCTCTGATAACGTGGACAGGTGCTCTTCGCGCTCGTGTGCATTTTTCAGCCATACTGACATCATCAAGTGCAGCCTTGATGATAAACATTCGTGACCCCATAGCCTTGCACGGTCACGTGGCCTACAGCTGCTGTCTGACCTCCCTTCCCGGTCCGCGCAGGTCGGCGACGGGTCTGCACCTGCTGTACCTGCAGCTGCGGCAGAACCTGCTGGAGAACTCGCTGGACGTCAGCTCCAACCAGGTGGTGCAGCTCAGCTCCCTGGCGCTGCTGGCAGAGTTTGGCGATAGGAGTGACAAGGTGAGATAGATCAGACGTCAGCAGAGGTCGGCGATAGGAGCGACAATGTGAGATAGATCACTGGGCTGCTGGCAGAGTTCGGCGATAGGAGCGACAAAGTGAGATAGGTCAGCTGCAGCTGAGCTCATGGAATAATGGATATCTGGGTGCTATGAGAGAGGTAAGTCAACACAGAACAAGGTCAACACTTCTTTCCGGCAGGCCTTTGATGTTGTGCGCATCGTAGTGGATGTCACAACTTACAGAATTTAGTCTTGGGGTAGTATCGTCTACTGAAAACAGATCAACACCAATCTAGACATTTCAAGAATATTGTTTCAGTGATTATGTCGATTTCTTATTTCACCCTTTTCTCTCTCCTCTCCACAGAGCTGCGCCGACTCAATGATGGAGGACAGCGGCGCGGCCTATTTCCTGCCGGAACACTACCTTCCCGAGCCGCTGACGTCACAGGCCGAGCTGCTGCGCCAGCTGACGGAGGGTCACGTGACGTGTGGCTCGGAGCAGCCCGCGGCGGCCGGCCAGGCCGGCGGGCCGGCGGCGGCCGAGCGGCGCTTCGTCAGAGTGGCGGCCGGGTGCAGGGGATATGGAAGGCACCGCTGCTCTGTGGATCTGGTGAGTTGAGTGGGGAACCAGGCGGTGTTTCACGGCCGCTGGTAGCACGTTGCCAGCACACGTGGTAAAGTCGGTTTCCATGGAGACAGCAACAAACTCGGACGCTCCAACATTGAGTGACTTGACCACAACTTGTGACGCCAGCTCGCGAAATGCGCCGGCAGCGTGATAGCAGCGTGCTAACAGCAGCCATGGATAAACGACTCAGAGTGTAGGGAGGGGAGTTTATCGAAGAACAGCGGACACGACCTCATGTTTAATGACTGCGGTTCAGTATATACTATGCAGGGGCGTCGCCACGGATTTTTGAGTGGGGGGGTCGGGTTTTTAGTCTTCACCCGATGGGTAGGTTTTTTTTGCCACACTTCCCAGTTTTGTGCGTGCGTATGTGTGTGTGTGCGTGTGTAACAAATCGGCGCGCAGCGCCGCCAAATTTGGTATAACCTATTAGGTAGGTATACCTACCTACATCACTTGCGTAAAAATTATCACTGGTCACTTAAGGTCAGGTCGCCATGTCAAGTTCAGTTATACGGTATACCTCTATAAAAACTTTCCCCTCTCGCCATTCTTGTAGCTTTTCTCCCATAACTTCGAAATTTGGTACACTGTATAGGTACCTAATGTATGGGGTTATACGTGTCAGCAATTCATGATTCTAACTGAGGATTTACATCTATGATCTGAAGGCAGGTCAAATACGTGACCTCATCATTAGAAAATAATGAGAAATTAGAAAAAGCACGAATGCCTCCTGCTTTGAAAAAGTTCGTCAGAAACGCAAAATATCTTTGGAGCCATGACAAATCAGCTCATCATTGCCAGGGACAGGGTGTAACTTATGGCGAGTGATGACTCGAAAGGTCATTAGTGGAAATGTCCATCGATGGCCACCAGCATTTTTTTCTACAACTTTTGACGAAGACGCGGTAGAGCGATGACAGCACCTGGAAGGTGTTCACTGTTCAGCTCAACAACACGGATCCATTCATATGCAGCAGGAGGTCCTTTTTCGATCAGGACATAACGTTGACCTGAGGTCGTTTTAACGTTAATTCTGAATGGTCAAATTTTAACTCATGTGACGCGTCTCAAAGAGATGAAGACGGTGGTGACAAGACAACATATGTACATACCATACAAATTCACGGAATCGAAAGTTATTGCAAAGCAGATGTTTCGGCAGAATCTGTCCAGTTAGCTGTTTGCCTTCTTATGGGCCAAACATAGACCTGAGATGAAATCTAACGCGAAGCTAGCGAAAAAGCGTTAAAAGAGCTATCGAATAGTTTTCTGCTTCACTGTAGCCCTTCTATTGGTGGTTTCCCAGTCGCTAACGTATAACGTATACTAAACTAACGCTGAGGCATGCTTTCGACCCCTGATCGATCTACCACTACCTATCCACTCGTCCTCTCCGTGGCCGAGTGGATAAAAGCGCCGGAATTCGACGCTTAACCGGAAGTGAGAGCCCGGTTCAAGCCCCGGTGCGGGCGGCAACATTTAGCTCCTACGTGTGATGGCGTGCGTGTCTGTGGCAGGGGCCGCACAGAAGCCAGGTAACGTGAGTGAGCGGAGGGGACCGTGTCCAGTCGTGAGGGCACGTTAAACGTTCGGACAAAATCCTGCCATACAACTGGAATTGCGCGATCGGGTGGTGGGGTCAGGGTCAGCACAACAAGCTATGCTTAGTGCGGGCTCTGATTCCTCAAATCCGCCCATTCAGCCATTGGGACTAAATTTATATTTAAAAAAAAATCTACAGGTTTGCGGAAAAAAGAGCATGCTGCCCGTGACGAGAGAAAGCCGATGATACCCATTTACAAGTTTTCGGGTCATCTCAGGACTCAGGTCATCGCCAATAAGTAGAGAAACTCGGGACCTGCTAGAACTTAACGAATGTAAGTTGTGATGGTTTTTCGAGGTTCTGATTACGAATGTTATCTTAGTTTTGAACGAAGATGATGACTCCATGCATTTGGGGTAGATCAGGTCAGGTCAGATCGACCAGTACCTAATAGTGGATGACCACCACCGATTGCTTCCTAGCATGTTATATGAATAAGCAACACAACTACTTCTTAAATGTTCAGATGGGCGCTAAGTTCAAAATCAGCTCCAAAAACTACCCTATCAATTAACAGCACGTTATGAAAAAGTGAACTAAGGTCATCTTTATTTGAATCAGGGATATTGATTTATTTTAAGTAGGTGATTAACTCGAGCGCACCGGAAGTTTTGTTGCAATCGGCTCCTTTTTGCGCGACTTCTTTGCGAAAGCCCGAGACGGTTCCATCTGACTCCCTTTCCCCTACATGTGCACTGTACAGCTAGTTGTGACGGTAGCCATGGGGCTGAGGCTAGTTTGTAGTTTTGTACTGATCCGACGAATCGACTGCGACCATTTTTTTAAAACGATCAGACGAACGCTCGGGGCAGTTTTGGCGCGTCCAATCCTTTGAGGGATAAAAAGGTATACTAGGATGGGGGCTACTTAAAAACATTGTTGTGCTGGTGTTCCCCGCCCACAGCTAATTGACCTTTAGGTAATTGGCTAATTGGCTTTAGGGAGCTCTTGAAGCGATTTTGAATCTGATGTATTTGTTGGTGTTGCTGACGCCTGCTTCACTGACATAAAAGCTAAAAAAGCATACTCAGCATCGCAAAAAGTGGGGGGGGTCGACACCCCCAGTTTTCAAGAGTGGGGGGGTCACGACCCCCCCGACCCCCCCCCCCCGTCGGCGACGCCCCTGATACTATGCATACACGTTGCGTTAGAAATGACCCTCTCTATCTTTGGACGAGTTTGAGAAACGTTAGTGGAATTAGTATTGTCAAGGAACGTCTTGTCTCGTCGCCTGGAAATCAATTACCAGCCAAATTAGTGCTCACGAGGCCCGAGGGTACTCGTGATGACGTCAAAGATTGAAGAAATGATCAGTGCCGTCCAGTCTATCTTATTTGGAAGGCCGTATTTCCCAACCGGCCGTGTGGCCTAATGGATAAGGCGCCTGACTTCGGATCAGGAGATTGCAGGTTCGAGTCCTGTCACGGTCAAAACTTTTCGCTGGTCGCACTCTCCCCAGCTCTCTGACCGCAAAACCGTGATGCGCGCAGTGCTCGTAGGCCGCAACGATAATTCGTGACATCCATAGGAAATTCGTTAGGCAGTGTCTTGCCTTTCATTGCAAGCAGTTTTCATAGCATTTTGCATGCGCGCACTTGGCAACGAATTTTCAGAACTCCTAAGTCCTAACAAACCCTTCAACGCGTAATGCCTCGCCCCAGCTGTGTTTGACGGCGTGTTGTTCCGTTTTCAGCGTGTCAAGTCGTACAGCACGTCGACGCTTTCCATCGACCCCAGCTGCCTGAGGCTGTCCCGGTGTGACCCCAGCGGCCGGTCCACGACCCGCACTCTGCACTGGTCCACCGTCTCCAAAATCGAGTGAGTAATGCAATGCAGGGAGTGAGTGAGTTGTGTTGGGAGTGAGGGAGCTACTCCTTGAGTTTTCTGGTGAATCACTCCTTTATTTTTCGTTTTTGTGTTAGCCATGAGTTTAATTGAGGGCTACTCGGTGATAAGGCGAGTTACGCATGAGCTCTTTCATTTGTTACGTCTTCGGGCCAGCTTTATATTATGTGTGAACCACCGGAAATGGTGTATTGCGCGGTGTATGTGACCTGACCTGGCCTGGTCCGACTCATCGGCCTGACCTGACTTGACCTGACCTATGTGACCCGTTTGTCCCCCCAGACCTGACCCGACGTGTCCTATTTATGTAATGCAACCTAACCTATCTCGTCTGATATTACGTGACTGACCTGACCTGTCCAGCTCATCTGACCTGTTTGTAACCCCGCGGCAGGTACAAACACCGCTCCCGGCGGCTGATTGTGAACACGGCTGGAGCCGAGGCCATGACATTCTGCGGCGAAAAGGCCAAGTGAGTACAACATACTTCTCGGTACGCTCGCTGTGGTTGGTTGTTGCGAGTACATCCCCATCGTCTTGCCACCCGTGTTCACCCCCCACGGGTGAAATCCGCAGCGTTGTTATCGTTTATTTATTGGCTTTTTGCCGATGGGTGTGTTTGTTTGCCTGTTGTGAAATGCTGTCGTGGATTCGTGAGTCGTGAAATGGTTGTTCTTAGATGTCTTACCCCCAAATCTGGCCATGATTTTGGGTCACTCAATGGGGAAGTTCCCTTTCATTTCTCTTATTTCCCTCACTAAGTCCCTTTCATTCCTCTGATTTCCCTCACTTCAGGCGTAGTCATCTGATTGATTCCCCTTTTAATTTACCAACAAACTCACCACTACAGTCACCGTGACCACTATACATTCAAGCCGAGTGCGGCGGCCTGGGGTGGTCCATCTTACCCCGCACGGCGTTAGAAATATCGGGACACGAACACTAGCTGCCCATACCACTCGTGGCTCCCTTTCCCTCTGACGTCAGCACGTGACGTCACTGGCGGCTGGCGGCCGGCCGTGTTATGGGCAGCTACTGCCGTGAGACCCACAAGGCGACTACGGAAACCACCTAGGAGGTCGGTCGCTCGCGGGAGCCGCCGAGTCGACGCGGTGGTGGTGGGTGGTGGGTGGTACGATTCTGGGCATCCGTGGTGGGAGCCGGACGTTGGACCATGGATTGAAGGTTCTTTTATCCATGATTGGACCGTTTCTTGGAGAGCAGGATGAAGCGCGTTGCCCGCATATAAATATTGTTTGGTGATTGATTTACCTTGCAACATTGCTTTTGTATAAGAGGGTTGGTTAAATGGTTATTTGGGCCGCCGCCGCCCTACGCACTAACTAGCCCGGGCGGAGCACCAAAGCGGAGGTGCTTTCCGTTGAGTGAGGACCAGTGGCGCAGCCAGGGGGGGGTGAAAGGGGTGAGATCTCACCCCCGTCTCTTATCCTAGGGGCCCACCGTCGATTCGAACTGTAACGTTATACAGCCTAACATTTTTTATCATAATGTCAAGGTCCGTCATAGGACTGAAAAACAGTTTTCAGGCCTGATAGCCCCCCCCCCCCCCTTTAGGATTTATAGTCCCATTTTATGATTTAAGAGGGTAGATCCAGGACCCGATTGAACTAATCCAATGCCTAGGAGGGCTCGTTCCATGGCATGTGAGGGCCATTTCAGGCCTGAGAGGGCCCATTTCAGGTCTGTGAGGGCCCATTTCAGGCCTGAAGGGGCCCATTTGAAGCTTGCGAGGGCCCATTTCAGGCCCTAGAGGGCCTGTTTAAGGCCTGAGAGGGGCCCATTTCAGGCCTGAGACTTGAGAGGGCCCATTTGATGCCTGTGAGTGCCCATTTCAGGCCTGAAGGGGTCCATTTCAGGCCCTAGAGGGCATGTTTGAGGCCTGATAGGGCCCATTTCAGGCCTGAGAGGGGCCCGTTTCAGGCCTGAGGGGGCCATTTCAAGCTTGAGAGAGCCCATTTCATGCCCTAGAGGGCCTGTTTGGGGCTAGAGAGGGCCCGTTTGAGGCCAGAGAGGGCCCGTTTGAGGGCTGAGAGGGGCCCATTTCCGGCACCATTTCAGACCTGAGAGGGCCCAGTTACGGTATGAGGGGGCCCTTTTTCGACATTTCCGGGCTGAGGGGGCCCATTTCAGGTCTGAGAGGGCTAATGTCAGGCCTGAGAGGGCCCATGTCAGGCCCTAGAGGGTCCATTTCAGGCCCTAGAGGACCTATTTGAGGCCTGAGAGGGGCCCATTTCAGGCCTGAGAGGGTCCATTTGATGCTGTGAGGGCCCATTTTAGGCCTGAAGGGGTCCATTTCAGGCCCTAGAAGGCATGTTTGAGGCCTGATAGGGCCCATTTCAGGCCTGAGAGGAGCCCATTTTAGGCCTGAGGGGGCCCATCTCAAGCTTGAGAGAGCCCATTTCATGCCCTAGAGGGCCTGTTTGAGGCTAGAGAGGGCCCGTTTGAGGGCTGAGAGGAGCACATTTCAGGCATAAGAGGCACCATTTCAGACCTGAGAGGGCCCAGTTACGGTATGAGGGGCCCTTTTTCGACATGATAGGGACCATTTCCGGGCTGAGGGGGCCCATTTCAGGTCTGAGAGGGCCAATTTCAGGTCTGAGAGGCAGTGTACCAAAATCATATTTTTGCTTGGGTGTCAGAGGGGAAAATTGCTGACCAAAAAAAAAGGATGAGAGTGAAAATTGTCGGTCAGGTAAGGCCCAAAAAGAGTGGGAAACTGATCAAAAACATTAATCTATCTACAATTGTGACAGATGTAAAACAACCATTCCCGCAATTGCTCCTTCTCGGTGGGATTGGGAGTGAAAAATTGGGCTTGAAAACTGGAGGTGAGAGTGGAAAATGATTTGCATTTCGATGTCGTTTCCCACCCACATCTACAAATTTTGGGACACTGCTGAGAGGGCTAATGTCAGGCTTGAGAGGGCCCATTTCAGGCCCTAGAGGACCTAGCTGAGGCCTGAGAGGGGCCCATTTGAGGTCTGAGAGGGCTAATGTCAGGCCTGAGAGGGCCCATTTCAGGCCCTAGAGGACCTATTTGAGGCCTGAGAGTCTACTTCAGGCCTGAGAAGGGTCCATTTCAGGTCTGAGACTTGAGAGGGCCCAGTTCAGGCCTGAGAAGACATCCCAGGAATGAAAGGATCATCCTATGTGTGGGAGGGTCCGTGCCTGGTCTGGGTCTGAGAGAGCCTACCCCAATCCTGATTGAGCCGATATCATGTTTGATATAGGTCAACTCACCACATGTATATTGATGGCCCAGTTCATGTCTAATGGGCCCATCTCAAGACTCAGAGATTTTATGCTTCAGGAAGCCTACCCCAAGCGTGAGGGGCCCATAGAGGTTTTTGAGGCTCATGGAGGTCAGAAGCGGCGGAACACCTTCAATTAAGGGGACTGCTGACTTTTGGTCCCATTCTTTCCATGCAACGCCCATAGGGCTAATGTTAAAATGCCAAAATCAAAGGGGGGCAGGGGGCACGGTGCCCCGGTGCCCTCCCCGTTTCGCCGCTTGTGATGGAGGTCCCGCACAGGGGTGGAGAATTGTGCTGGACTGGGGGTGCTCGAGCTCTCCCAATTCCACGCCGGCCACGCCGGCTTGGCTTTGGAGCCGCGGCCGGGCGGCGCGGGTCAAGGTCACCGCTAGGCGGCGGCGGATTTGCTGCGCCCGAGCACCCCCAGCTGGTCACAATTCTCCACCTATGGTCCCGCAGTACGATATGTCAGCCTCTGAGAAAGCCATGCAGGGCCCTGCCAAGCCGACATCTGAAAATCTTCTCCTCAGGCCTGAGGCATGCCCTTCTCCTGGGGCCTGCCTCACCGCCCGGCCCCACCCCGACGTCTAGGGGTTTGACGCCTAGGTATTTATCAAGACCCCACACCGGTCCATGATGGCTCCAAACTGACACCTGAGGCTCCTGCACCGGCTTTTGAGGGGCCCACCGACCTCTGATAGCCACCACGCAGGCCTCAAAAGACCATGTCGATTGTCGATATCTAAACCCCGAAGTCTTGGAAGGCCTGTGCTCTATGCAGATTCTTGAGGGCTTTACGTGGGCTTGTAAATATCCCAAACTGGCTCTAGCCTAGCTCGACCGCGCCCCGCAGAGCAGGGCCCCAGGCTTTCCAGTTTTACGCCCCTGAGGGGTGTTTGAATAGATCCCCTTCTAACCTGACTCCAGGGTCACGTAGCGACAAGTGCGGCGGTAGGCGGCTTTCTAAAGAGCGTCGAAAATCATGGAGAAATTGTTTCAGTCATATTGCAGTTCAGACCAAAGCACACGTCATCATGTTCATCGAAGGAAAAGTTTCGCCTATTTCGACACTCGAGGACATAAAAAGCTATAGCGCGCTGAAAGTGGGTTCGATAGCTCTCTAGCTCGTGCAATCAGCCATGCTACCGTGTCAAGGAAAAACATAGTAAGCGCCAATGTAAACAAAAATGAGTTAGAGATGCTAACGGGGGTTTTCGGGGACGACGGATTCGTTTCTGGTATCGCTTTTTTCATAACTTTCTCCAAAACTGAGATATTAAAGGGGTAGAATATAGCAAGTCCAGTGGCGTCTTCCGTTTGGCAAAGAAAAACACAGCATGTGACAAGTTGCTGCATGCTAGGTTTTACCTCGACCAAAGAGACTGCTGAACATCCTATTTTGCGCTGATGTGCATTGTGATAAAGTGTCGCATACTAGGTTCTCGCCCATTCGCGACTTCCACGCTTTAGGAAGCCCACTCCCCTGGTTGGGTCTGTCTGTTACTGCTGGCTACATGAGCGAGCCATGATGGCACATCAAGGTTGATGCATGTAGCAACTTGATGTGCTCTAGAAAACCTTAACTTCGCTTCACTGCCCCGGAGTCCCTATTGCAACTTATCAGTGTGAACCCCGATTTTTGAACTGTGGAGAGCCACACTGACAAACTTTCTCGGTGTCCTTGAGAGGGCCGACATCTGCTGCGTGTGCCGAGCCGCCGAGCCCCGGTGGTACGAGTGGCAGGGGTGCCGGATCCAGTATCCCTGCACCTCTTCCTGACATTCCCGAGGAGTTTCTGAGGGACCCAGTGTAATCTACGTCTGCCTCTGCGATACCGAATGCGTCTAAAGAGCACGATATCAGGGTGTGTGTGAAGTGCGTTAGTGGGATAAAACATTTTGATTTGGGTTGTGTTGAAGTATAGCGAGAGATACTGATGCATGCCGAGGCACTGTGGTCAGCCAGCATGATGATGAGATGGCGTACACTGCAGATATGCAGGTGTAACTTCTAAAAAAAATGACCGTGGCCCTGTTGACGGGACCTGCGGTAGCTGCGGCTCGTCGGTCAGCCGCGGGATCTATGGCCGCGGGTAAACACCGAGCTGCAGCTACGGCAGGTGCCCGTGAACAGCACTCGTGAAAATCACTTCTTTATGAGCCGTGTGGTCCATAGGCGTAGGAACGGGGGGGCCGGGGGCGGAGGGCCATGGCCCCCACCCACTTTTCAGCCTTTTTTTAAAGGGAAAATCTTTATTTTTTATTTAAATACAAAACTAAGAGCAGGAAGTGGTTCAGCAAGGTAAGATGAGCACAAAACTGCAAATCATTTCATCATAGGGGCATTCTTGAAATGACAACTGTTTCAGTTTTGTTAACAACCTATTTCATAGATAAAGCACATCTGGCACAGAAAAACGTAGTAAGTAACCATGCTAGGTTTTTCCCTCTTCGTCCAATGCCACAGCTAATCTAGCAAGTCCACATTTAAATTATTGGTAAGCATTTGAAAAATTTGGATAGCATTTCTGAATTGCGCACATAAAATACATATAGAGACACTATTCCGGTTAATGCATGTTATGCGCATTTGCTTAGGCTAGCACACGTTAACGTTTCCTCGTTTTTCTCCGTTTCGTCACCTTGACACTTACTAGGTTCTTCAAAAATAGGGTAGCATGGGATATCGGCCATGGCTGTCATGGGCGTATCGGCCAAAACCCGATCATAATTTAAGACGGCTAGAAAGACGAGAAAAGCAACGGATAGCTATAGGATGCTTCAGAATCGTTGAGGTCATTTTTCGATTAGGTCATCGCTGAGGTCATTGAAGATGAAATTATGATAAAATTATGATAAACACAAAGACAAGATTACGACGAAAAAATTTTTGTTTTTATATTTTTCACAAATAACCGTATAACTCGTGAACCAAAGAGCTAGAGCTTGCGGAACAACTCATTCGATAGGCCTTTCAAAACGCTTTCGCTTTTAAGATTTGACCTCAATGCCTCATGTCAATGGTTTGGCAGCATAGCAGAGGGTAAAACCGGCAAAACCATCTAAATAGTCGCATTTTACCAAAACAGTTTTGCTAAGAATTTTTGCAAGGACTTTGGTGAGAAAAACTATGAGACATTTACTTTGTCATTATTCTCTTGTTAACATGCATCGAATGAGCTACCTATAATTTCACATAAAAAGTTCAACTTCAAAATGTGACCGCAGATCAAGGTCATGCCCTTACTTGAGAAGTTCATGATGGTCATCAACCGATCCGTATGGATGATTAAAGGGACCCTCCCACCTTCAAAAAAGTTTATGAATTGGCATGAAAGTGATGTCGCTCGGTTCAGAAAGAGCGAAAACGAATATCTACCAAATTTCACCGAAAAATATTCACCGGTTTTCAAGATATTAGACTTTTACTTTTGTTTACTTTTTTGGGATCTCCGCTGTTTCTAGCGAATTTATTTTAGAAATGCGGCGTTTGCGGCAGATGTTGCGCGCAAATAGCATATACCACCGCGTGCTACAAAACGTTTTAGTCAAACATTTAAAAATCGTTAGATATTTGCGCTGACGTCACACATTCAGAGGGGTATTCCTAAGCATTAGCCCCTCTGAATCAAAATGCTGCAATTTTGAAATGCAATATTTCCGATTTAAGGCATTTCTCGATGTTGTGAGTGCCGAAACCGGTAATTGTGAGCCAGGGACCCCATTTTGGCTATCTCAACTCATATCTAATGTTAAGGTGGGAGGGTCCCTTTAACACCTTCAAGACAATGTCATAACTCTACTTCCTCTCCTATATCAAAAGTAACAGTCGAAAAACTGATGAGCTTTTTTAAAAGCCTTTTGACCTAGTCCGACCCTTGCCGCTGGCCATCAATTGCACGCTGTCCATCAAATATGGGCAGAACGGTCGTGTTTCTGTAAATATGCTGTTGTTTTTTACGTGCCTCTTCAGATCAAGAGATATTTGTCCTTTTCCCCGATTTGACTGGTAATGATGACAATGATCTGAACTTTCGTTGTTGCTAAGGGGCCCCCATTTGGTTGAGGGGGGCCCACTTTGCTGGGGGGCCCATCGCGAACGTCTCTCACCCCCGTCGCCAGAGTTCTGGCTGCGCCACTGGTGAGGACGGGCAACATAGTTAGCAGCGCTGCCGCGCACCCTTCTCTGACGAAGTCCGTTTCGCTCGTGATCTGACTCGGGCCAGGCGGCTCAACGCATGTCGTGGAGCACAAAAATCGTCCGTCGCTCCCCCGGGTGAAAAGGGTCCCTGGCGTGGAAATTCAATCTGTTTGATATCGTCGTGATTCATTTGTGTCATTACAAAGTCAAATTGCTTATTGATTGATTAGGTGATGCTCAATCGTGGACATGTCCGGATTTCTCCCTCGTCATATGTTAGTTTAAAAAAAAGATCTTTTAGAGGTTGATAGCCGTAAGATCTCCTTATACGGCTATCAACCTCATCTCAGTTTTCACCATACGCTCATTCTTGGTCGGCTTCCTGGTAAAACTGCAGTCACAGATCTTCATTCGACTGCGCTGAGGCCAGTTCCAACGCTCATAGTTAACGGATGTTTCACCAACCATCACTTTTCAACCGCTCATCATCCATTTTATCACACAGTGTCTTGTCGGTGCCATGACTGTTCGTCTAAGTTCTAACTGCCTGATTGATGTCCCCTAGTGCGTCATAGCCCGTACCATCCAATGCCATTACATCCAAGTCTTGTATTCGCCGCCGTTATCAACGCATTGACCGAACTAATGTGTCGTATTTTAACCGACATTGGACCCAGTATCCTTCCGCCCACGTATAAAGTGCCTTATGCCCTCCTCGCGACAGTTGTGTGACCTGTGACCCCAGTGTTCGCGCTGTGTACTATGTGATACTCCCTTCCCACAGTCGCCTGTGATGCCTAGAATATCCTCCGCATCTGCTTTGTGTAACCGTGACCCTCTCCTTCCCCGCAGGCTGCGCTGTCTGGAGTACATGCTACAGCAGCACCTCACCTCCTTTCGTGAGGGTCTTCACCTCACGGCCGGGTCGGGTCAACCTACACAGGTATACCGGGCCAGAGCGGACCCCACGTCCCCTCAGCTAACTCACTACTGTGTGAGGACGCCTCTCTCCTCGCTGACCAATCGCGCGGCGACACGTCACGCAGTGGCGGCCAATCAGAAGGCGGCATCGCCTGACCTGAAGGCGGCGCCTGTGTCAACGGCCAATCAGAAGCCAGCACCGGCCGGGTCGACCAATGGGAAAACACCAGCGGTGAGGACCAATGAGAACGCGGGGTCGTCGCCGGAGCTGACCAATCAGCTGGAGGAGAGCCCGGCGGCGGCCAATAGGCGGCGGCGGAGCGCGGGAGGTCCGCTGCGTCAGCGCCAGGTGTCTCGTGGCGCCGCCAGGTGGCGCAGCGCCAGCCAGCTGGCGCCGGGCCGGCCGACGGCGGCGGCACGGGACGGCAGTCCGCCGGCTAATGGCATTCGCATGGGTGAGTTGCGGGGGGGGGGGAGGGACGGAATAACCAGCTCTGCTAATGAGCCATGTTTGAAGGGTTGACTGGTATGTCGCCTGGTCATGACTGTTACATTTTCTATTTGTCACCTCTATAGCCTGATATCTTATATTTATAAACCTGCCTGTATTCGATATTATTTTTGTCACCTGCTAAATTCTCTCGCTTTGTTATTGAGAGAATAGCTCCCTCTATCTCACTTCTGCGAAATTATTAAAAATGAAAAGGGTGATAAAGAAAACACACCGCTTAGTCAGCGCACATCTCCAGCGTTAACCTTTGTGTACTCGACGTCTGCTTGAACGCATGCCCCCAGTAATTAGTCGGTAACAGGGTATGTCTTTCAGGGACGCGCGTGCCCGTCTCAGCGCTACAGAGACAAAAGCTGCGCAGCCGAGAGGCGCTGCCACATCTCACCGACGGTGCCTACGTAATCGGTGAGTCAGCTGGTAGTGGTTGTGCTGTCAAATTGCATTTCATACACAATGCATGTCGTATACAATTTTTATATTTATTTTGTTTGCTCATTTTTTTTGTCGAATGTCACATCACCTACCGCTAGCTAATCACTCACTGACGTTTATTTTCCTCAGTCGATAGAACCATGTTATGCTGTGAATCGGCAGATGAAGCATTCTCGTCTCCGGTCATGAGAAGCTCATCCGTTGTCAACTCACGCGCTTCCAGCAGCTGTTCCGATTATTTGAAACGACAGCACGAAATGTGGCGATAGCTTGCTTGGGTGCTTGACCTTAATTGTTTGTCGAAATGTTTTCACTCTTGTTGATATAACTATATTATTTTATCGGAGTTTAGATCCGTGCCATTTTGATAATGAATAGACGTCCACTTCTATATTCGATCGGCGGCGGGGGTGGCTAGGACAGCGCTCCTCTGCCGTGAACCGCCCACTCAGGGCGGGGGCGGGGGCGGCCATGGGCGACACGGGCGAACCGCCGGCGGCAATCCGACCTCGAATCCAACGCCTGCTCCTCTCCGACGAATACTACGAGTTCGAGGAGCTGGTACTGGTTGAGGCGGCGTTTGCTCAGGTGACCCGCCGCGGTCGTGGCCTGCGTCAGGTACAGATTGCCGTCACGCCCACAAAGTTCATCATTGCTACCGATGAACTGGGCGGCGAAGACGCTGACAGTCTGTTCTACCTGGCTCCGGATGATGTGGACTCTGATGCTGACTGGGATACGCTAGAGATGGTGAGCATTGTACCGATTGAGTGCGTCAATCTGAGTGTTTTCTCTCGAAGACGGCACAAGCTAAAGGCGCGGTTCTGCAACGGCAAGGTGTACTACTTCGAGCTGAGCGAGCGCGGCTCCCTGGGCGGCCGCGCGGCCGACTCGGTCTGGCGCCAGTGGGAGGAGCGCGTCGAGTTCCTCTGCCCCAACCTCAACTCGTCCTCCTCGGAGACGTCGGTAGCCAACACGAGCTCGACGTTATCGACGCTGGAGCGGCGGCGCAGTCTGCGTCAGCTGGCGGCCGCCGGGAGGGGGCAGGTGCAGGTCAGCTGGTTCGCCCGCGGCGGCCAGGTGGCCAGTGGTGTGGGGTCTCAGTCCCAGCGGGCGGATTCTTCCGTCTGGCTGACCTCTGAGGAGCAGGATGTGAAACCAACCCGCCCGGAGCCGGTGAAACCCCAGCCGCCGGCGCCTGTCGTGCCGCCGCTCCCAGCCGTCTCCGCTACCACCGACTCGTCGGCTTCGACGTGCTCCACGTGCGGCTCGACGTCGACCTCGTCGGAGACGTCGTCGGGGACGTCGGCCACCACGACGGCGACGACGACGCGTACGACGCGCACGGCTCGGACGTCTGTCCGCACGCCGGCGGGGACGGGAGGGGCGCGAGGGCAGACTCCGCCGCCTCCAACAACCCCGGCTGGGACACTGGAGCGGCGCAAGTCTCAGACGCTGATGATAAACCGATTTGGCACTGGCGTGGAGGAGAAATGCACGCTGAGTTTGTATCTATCAAGTGATGTGTCTCTTGAGTTGAGTGCTGCGGATAGACAGAGACTCAGTGCTTTCACGAAAGTCGCTGATGACGCTCTGCAGCTTTGGGAGCTGTCTGCGCTGTCGAGGAAGCGGCGCCACACGCGTCACTCTGTGCTGGCTCCTCTGGCTGAGCGTCAGCTCGGCTGGACGCTGCTCTCACCAACTGGGCGTCACATGGCTCGTGTACGCCGAGCGGCCTCCGAAACCCGACTGGGGCCGGTGGCAGTCCGGAGACGAGTGTGTGGCCAGGCACGAGGCGCGGAGTTTCATCTACCTCTGAGGAGAGGAGATCTGTGCGCGACGGCTTCGGTAGAGGATCTAAGTACGATCCCGTCGGCTGGGAGGGAGTCTGTGTCTACAGAAGGACGAGCTGTGTTCTGGCGACCCGAACAGACAGAGAGGCCTGTACTGGCCCGAGCGGTCTACACTCGCCGGCTGGAGCTTCTGAAAGAATTCCGCGTGGCACATGAAAAGCTACGCGCTGCTGAGACTCGCCGCAGTAAAGAGAAACAATCCAAGGTAGCACGCAGCCTCTCCAAACTATCTGCTCGGGCGAAACAATCTGCCACTAGCCAAGCGATCAAATCCACCTACAAACAGCTTTTCCGATCATTCTCTGGGACATCTCGGCCTGGGAAAAAGCGCGATTCTGAAGACGCTGGTCGGCGGACGGCCTCTGAGGGCCGCGTGGGGAGTAGTCAGCAGTCTGTGGGCCGCCAGAGGAGTGTTAGTTTATCCCCCATGCAGCGGCAAAGGAGAGGGGATAATGGTGATAGCACTGCGATTGGCTCCGGCGCGGCGGGCACCAGTGGGGGCGGATCGCTGGCCTTCTGTCGGTTTATGAGTCCACGGCGGGGTGGCTCACCAGAGCCGGACGTCGTGTCTCTATCGCAGCGGAGTGAGACGTGCTCGCTGGCGTCGGACGGAGCCATCACACTCAGTGAGGCGCTCTCACTCGAACCGTCTCTACTAGACTCTGTGTCTGGTACAACTGCTCCTCATGGACTCGGAGGCGGCGCTGGGGCGCGATCTGACTCCACGGCAGCCACCATGCCCGGGTGTACCACGCTGCGCCGAGTGAGGGAGATTGACTCAGCGGTACTGGCGCATCAGATGACGCTCATTGACCGAGAGATGCTACGGAGAGTGTCAGCGGCACAACTGATGGCGCTCCTGACCCGGCCCGACCCGCGACTTCTGGAACCGCTTGTGACGGCTATGTTATTCTTCCATCGGATTGTATGCCTCGTAACCACCAATGTCCTACTCGAGGAAACCTCTCGTGACCGAGCTAAAGTGATCACGAAACTAGTGACTGTAGCCGAGCGGTGCTATCACCTACGTAACTTCCACTCTTGTAAGGCCGTGCTGAGTGGACTACAAACCGTACCCGTATTCCGACTCCGGCAAACCTGGGAGCATATGAAAACCAGACACGACCGAAAATACCGTGCCTTCAAGAGTCTGTCGAAGTTGTTTGCCGATACGCGTCTGCCTCCATACCAGCGCGTGGCCGCTGATGTTGCCGCGTCTGGGCAAGCGTTTGTGCCATTCTTGGGAGATGTCCTAGCGTTGGTGCTGGGCCACAACCGTCCCCCGGCGGCCGGCGCGATTCGACGACCCGAAGACGCCCCGCCGGGCAGTCCTGTTCTGAGCTGGGTCCGCCAGCACTTCGACCCACCACCAGAGGAGGTAGCTGCCCGCCGGAGGGTCCTCCAGCGGAAGTATGTGACCCGCTGGCGGGCGGCCGTGAGGTGTAGAAGACTCTCCGCTCGCCGGTACAGGCCCTCGTGGCTACAGGGCCCGGTCGGCCGCGCTGGGGGTGGCGGGGTCGGTGCGTGGCCCCACGAAGCACCCGCCCGCCGCCGTCTCCGTCACCGCCTAGCCGAGGACTGCGCGGCAGTGGCTGCGCCGGCAGCAGCAGCTGTACGCGTGTCTCGCCTCTGGGCCCGCTGGCGGCGCTCTGTGGAGACGTACCGGCTCGAGGAGCGGCCCCTGGTGAGGGAGTACCTCCTGCTGGCGCGGCACTACACCATGGAGACGGCGCTGGGTCTGAGTCTGGACCGGGAGCCGCCGGACGGCAGCAGCTGCACGCTGTGCTCCAACACGGGGGTGGTGACGGACACGTCGGCGGATCCGGTCAGTCAGACCGGGTGACAGCGAGCGTGACAGTGGCGCTGACAGCTGTGGTGACAGTGGAGCTGACAGCGGGCGTGACAGTGAGATGACAGTGAGCGTGATAATGGAGGATGCCAGTGGTGGTAGTAGGTGCAGCTCGAAGGTGACAACAGTGGTAGTGATAGAGGCGCAGAATAAGATAACTAGTGCGACAAATGAACGCGGTGAGTGCGGATTACAAAATCACGGCAATGTCGACGATTAAGAGCACAGCGTATGTGAAGAGGGAAGGGATGCAGTGACGACAGCTGTAAGGTCGATAATTATAGACAACGAAAAACTGAACCAGTGCAGTCCAATTGAACATGCCGCAGTTAGATCGCAATCAAGCATGTGTTGAACAACTGAAAGTAAAACGCTCATGCGCTAACACAAGATGAAACAAGTAACAAGTAAGATGCAAGTAAACATGAAACAAGTAAAGGCACGAGGCAGAAAAGCGAAAGCATCATTGGATGTGACGATTTTAATAGGATGCTGCTAAAACTAGTGCTAGAAAAACGGTTAATCAGCCATCAAGATGCTGTGAGAACCTTTGGCAAGGATTCACTGTGTCCGATAAAGCATCGCCGATCTAATCTTTTACGTGTACTTCGCTGAGGCATTGGCTCTGGAGCATCATTACTGATCCGGGAGCCGTGACTACGAATAATGACCAGAGCGACTCGAAGAGACCCCCTCAATGGAGGATTTCTACAGGAAGCCTGATTACTCGCGATGGGAGCGGCTTCAAAGCCCATCTGGCTCTAACAATGAGCTACCCTACGTGGAACTCAAGCTAACTCCGCGCATCTCGCTACAAGGCGCACACACTCGATTCTGTCTCAATAAGGAGTGCTGTGCCGTATTCAATGACGGAATAGATAGACTGGACGGTTGATGGGACTAGAGTAGCACAGCTGCGCACGGAAGCATAAGTCAGATTATTGGTAAAGGTAGCCACGGGCTGGGGTTTTGTACAGCGTTTGGTACAGACTTTGTGAGGTCTTGGACGCCACTTATTACGAAAATACATATATTTGTCGAACGAGCGTTTTGGCTGTATTGTTTTCAGGAGCGTTTGAAGAGATAAAACATTTTTGTGGAATGCTGCCTCTTTTTGTCTCTTTTTTACGTGTGAAATGCGATCGATTTGAACTAAACGTGTGTAGGGCTCATAAGCGTAACTTTATATCTCTTTGTGGGTGCTCAAGCACCCCCAATCCTGAGCTCAGCACCCCCTGCCTTCTTAAAGCACCCCCAGCCTCCTCAAAACATTCCCAGCTGACTCAAGGCTCTCAATAATCAGAATGTCCATCTCCTAGCAGTGGCGGATCCAGGATTTTCACTGGGGAGGGGCTGCAGGTCATAATTGGGCGCCACGCCCCGGATGGGCGCCATAGTCGCATCGTATTGGCGCTGAAATATTGGCGCCCAGTGGCCCTGACAAGAGGCGCCCAGGATCAGTATGTACAGTGACACCACACGATTGGAAATATCGGTGCGGAGCGTACTGAAACGACGTTATTCGACTGATTTTTGCATCCTAGTCCTAGTATGCGGCACTCCGATGAGTTGCGAATTGAAAATTGGCGCCACTGCGCCTTCGGCGCAGTGGCGCCAGTTTTCCTTGGGTGGGGGCTGCCAGCCCCCGCAGCCCCCCCTGGATCCGCCACTGTCTCCTAGTACCGTAATGAGCCCAGTGAATCATGCAATGTATTTGTATGTATGTATTGACACCAAAAGCCTTCCACATATGGCGTGGCGATTACGGCTTAGATCCGAGTATAATGGGTAACAATCATGCGGGCAGGGGGAAGAACACTCAGCACTAGACGACAGTCATCCATCGATGGGGGTCGCGACAATAATCATATACATATGTACACAAGACAAACAATATATATATATACATAAGCACAAACAGATCGTCCACCAATTGGCGGCATGCCCTGCCTACTACTAAACAGACTCGTCAGCGGCGTAGCGGGGATTTGTTAATCAGCGCGGCCCTGCAGACCGGGCGAAGCTGGCAGGTGGCAGCTGCACTACCTGGGGTGGGAGGCTATTCAATAGCGCCGCGGCACGGTACTCAAAACGCCGTTTTCCAGTTTCAAGCCTCGGTCGGGGAAGATGAAGGAGATGATCCTGCCGTGTGTGCCTGTCTCGAAAATTTTGGTTAGGGACGAACAGTGCAGCGAGGTTCTCGGGCTCTTCATGCTTAATGACCTTTTGCGCGATCGTGAGTGTCAGGTAATCTGACATGGATTTTGGTGATAGCCAGCCAAGTCTGTCACGCAGGTCCGAGACGTGGTCAAACTTACGCCGTCCGAAGATCACTCTAGCGGCAAAGTTCAAAATTTTCTGGAGTCGGTCAAAATTTTTCTGAGTCCCGTTACCGTACACAGTGAGGCAGTAGTTGATCCGTGATATGACAAGAGATGTAACGAGGACTTTAATGACACCGTCAGGGAGACAATTTCGTGCGTGAGACAGTCCGACCAACAAGCCAGTACACCGACGACTAAGCTCGGACACATGTGCTTCCCAGGACAGGGCGCTGTCAAAGACAACACCCAGATTCCCCACCTGCTCGCGTGGCTGCAACACAGAGTCACGAAGAGAGACGCTGAAGTCGGGTACTTTCCGTAAATTTTGTCTGCTGCCAAAAACCATTAGTTGAGTTTTGTTTGCGTTTAGCTTGAGGGCGTGAAGACAGAACCAGTCACTGATTGATGCGAGTGAAGCTTCCATGCGAGAGATAAGCGATCTGAGGTCGTCGGCACGGCCGCTCACTAGAACCTGGGTGTCGTCCGCATATTGGAAAACGGTGGCGTCACCTGCGTATAGCGAGAGGTTGTTCGAAAATATGGTGAAGAGTAACGGTCCCAGGGCAGATCCTTGGAAGACGCCCATATTATTTGGAAGCGGCCGCGACAGTACTCTACCTCCGGCGCCGTTAGATAGGGACACGCTCTGGGTGTGTCCCGTGAGAAAAGCAGAAAACCAAGTGGTCTCGATCCCGTGCATAGCCAGTTTTTGAAGTAGAAGGTCGTGGTCGATGACATCAAAGCATTTGCTCAAATCAAGGAGACACAGCAGTGAAAGTTCTCCCCTATCAGAGGCTGCGAGGATTTGGTCTGTGACGGACAGCAGAGCGGTCTCTGTGGAGTGTCGGGGGCGAAAACCATGCTGCGAGGAGGCAAGGAGATAGTTATTTGAGAGGTAGTGGTAAAGCTGTTGATGTAGGTACAAGGCGTTCCACAACCTTCATAATCACGGGGACTAATGAGATTGGTCGGAAGTTGGTGGGATCTGAGGGGCTGCCAGATTTGAAGATTGGGTGGACTGTGGAATGTTTCCAGGAATCGGGGATATCGGAGTTGGTAATACACGTATTGATAATGTAAAGTATGACGCAACCGGTAGCTGAGAAGCCGGACTTTAACATTCGGATGCAAATGCCATCAGTCCCACTGGCGCCTGAGTTGCGCATGCCGAAGATAGTGTGACCGAGTTCGCCGAGAGTGACCGCGCGGAGCTGGAAACGACAAGCACCGACCCGGGGGAGGCGAACGTTCAGATCGGTAGTGGTGTTAGGAGACCGGACCTCCGCAGCGATGCGAGGTCCGACAGAGACGAAAAATGAATTTAGTTCATCGGCGGGTAAATTAGGCTGCACACTAGGACCGTCCTTTTTCCCTGCTACAACTGTCCTGATAGACTGCCAGACCTTATTGGGACCCCGCTCGCAGATATTTCTCTGAAGCTCCTCTCGCCGGTCGCGACGCAGCGCGGCCCGAACAGAGCGATTCAGCTCCTTGTAAGCTGTCGACTGACGACCGGACAGTCGTAGCGAGGCGCGGCGCTGGGACATAAGGTTCCGTGTTCCGTGTGCAAATACTATGCTTACTCAATTCAGTGACTAAGAGAATATACATTGAATAAATCACCACAAATTAAGATGCATGACATTTGTGTTAACATTACATCTGATATTATCAGGGGCCCGGGAACGATTTTCAAGTTGAGGGGGGGGGGGCGAGCCTAAAATACCTGACATGATGCATATGAAACAGTGGCATAGCTAGGGGTCTAAGGGGACACGTACCCCCTCCCCCCCCCCATCGAGTTCAAAGGGAGCCTCGGGTCCGAGAGGCCGTGCGGCGCCATTTGACCGCTGATGGTTAACGATGGCTATATTTCTACTTAGAAGGGCCCCGTGGGGCTCGTTAGAGCACCTCATGGGCCCTAAATAGCCATACTAAGGTCTCCATAAGGGCCCCACGCCGACTTCTGAGGGCCTCTCGCGGCTTTTAAGGACACCTCGGTGGTCTCCAAAGGCCCGTTAAGCCTGAAACAGACTCTTTCCGCAGTCAGGAAATCGCATGCGAGAGCCTATTCAAATACATGGAAGCACGCTCGCATCAATCGCACGCACCTCCCGCGAGCGGTTGATGCGGGAGGAATTACAATGTATTTGAATAGGCTCTCGCATGCGATTTCCTGAACGCAGAAAGAGTCTGCTTCAGCCTTTACTGGCCTCTGAGAGGTCTTACCGGCCTATGAGGGGACAGTTCTAGGGGCATTTCCCACCTGTGATGGTCTCACACTTATTTTTCTGAGGGCCCCATAACGGCAACTGTGGGGCCCTCATCGGTGCCTATGAGGGCCCACACCGGTGTCTCTGAGGGTTTCACACCCCCAAACTCTGAGTGTCTACACCAGTGCCTATTAAAGCCCTATATCGGCGGCTCCGAGGACCCACCCAACACCTGTGCATCTAAAGGCCACCCACTGATGACTTGAGGGCCCCACAACGGTGACCCTGAGGGCCCTACCGGCGTCTGACAGTACCATGCCGGTCTCTTAGGACCCCGCAGGACTTATTCTGCCGGCCTAAGCCCTAAGGACCCCTTGCCGATCACTGAGACCCCCTGCCGACTTGTAGAGAGTTCGCGTCAGCAGCTCTAAAGGCCCCACACCCGTCTGTAACGGCTCTACACCAGCGTCTATGAGGGCCCGGAGCAACGCCTGTTATGACACTCATCGGCGCCTCTGAGAGAATCACACTAGCACCTCTGATCGCCCATACCGGCACCGGCATGGCGGCCCCACACCGGTGCCTCCCTTCCCGGCGGCTCTGAGGGCCCTACGCCAGTGATTCTGAGGGTGCCACCGATAACTGAAGGCACCACACAAGCCCTTAGTGTAGCTGAGCTTTAATCCCATACCGGCCCTCCGAGGGCGCCACGTCAGTGCACTCATTGCCCCACAATCCACATCCCTCCCTCACACCCGGAGCGGGTAAACTGTGTTATACCTATAGCAACGATTTTACCACCGTTGTACGTTATGTATTTCTCAAAGTTGACTCAAAATGATCCAGTACAAAATCTGGCCTGCCAAACTTATGGCCAAGGTCAGGCCCAAACACGTTTTGGGCAATCAGTCTCAGTCCATGACTCCATTCTTCGACAACTATACGGTGCAAGGCCGATACTGTAGAAACTTGCAATTTGCACCCTTGACCTGACCTTGACCTCAAACTTTAAATTAAGTACATGTTTTTACTTATTCGTGATGAGACCTTTCGATTGGCGTTTGAATTTTCCAAATCGGACCATTAGTTCGGGAGATAACAGGGGGTAAAATTTATCCCCCCAGCCCCGCGCGTTCGGCTGGAGACCCCAGCCCCGCGCGGGTTAATGCATTGGGTGAGCCAAAATTGTTTTACAGTGGCGCTATTAAAACCAGGGCTGCGGAGTCGGAGTCGGAGTCGGAGTCGGTCGGAGTCGACAGTTGTGACCGGAGTCGGAGTCGGAGTCGGAGTCGATTTTAGAAACCCGAGCCGGAGTCGGAGTCGGAGTCACCGAAAATCTGTCGACTCCGCAGCCCTGCTAGGTCTGCGGAGTCGGAGTCGGGAGTTGGAGTCGGTCGGAGTCGACAATTCTGCCCGGAGTCGGAGTCGGAGTCGGAGCTGGTTTTTGAAAGCCGGAGTCGGAGTCGGAATCGGAGTCGCCGAAAATCCATCGACTCCGCAGCCCTGATTAAAACAAGCTCTCGAACCGATTTAACATCATTTCTTGCATGATGCCTGATGGCTACAGTAAAAAAGAACAGCTAAAAAAGCTACAAAAACTATGGCATACCTTTCTGAAAGCTATTGAGCACCCCCAATGATTTTTGGAAAACTACACCCATGGTAGGGCTCAAAATGATGCAACGTGCCACCACAAATCGATTTTTTCAGTTCGTGGGGAATTTGAACTCATTACTGGATGCAGATGTCTTAGCTCATCCCAACGTTTTATAAAAAAAACTATACGATCTTCAATTTAACGAGAACACCCCTCAGTCCCCACGCACACCGCGCTTCCATTCCTTCGCTTCAACTGAGTCAGATACCACCCCCCCCCCCCCCCTCCCTCCGTCCATACTCACCGTGTCCTCTGTGTTCGTAATTTCAGCGGCCGAGGTGCCGGCCGCCCCTGACCTGACGGCCCCACGTGACATCTATCCCCCCCCCTCCTCCCATGCTCACCGTGTCCTCTTTATTCGTATTTTCAGCCGCGGAGGTGCCGGCCACCCCTGACCTGACGGCGCCCCGCGGGACTCGGCCCGTGGACGGCAGTACCGGAGACCTGAGACACACCGCCGGCGTGTTCAACATCACGTGAGTAGCGGACGGGGGGGGGGGCAGTTTCAGTCGGGAAGGGCAGTGGTTTTATGAAGCGTGTGGATCAATTGCTATCGGCGCGTCACTCGATTTGAGGCATGTGGCAAAGTAAGATGTGTTGCTCTTCATTGGTTCGTTGTTTTTTTACTTTGCTTGGTTTAGCCACTGTATTCCATTTGTTAATATTTTTAAGGTCTGTTTCGCTTTCTGATTGCTGAACATATTTATTCCAACATGAAATTGCATTTCAATGCGTAAAACTTGAGTGACTCGGAGCTGAAATGCATCAGCCATTCTTCGGCTACCCCTGTCCCTCTTCTTGCCTTTTTCCCTTCCTTTATCTCTAGCTCTACACTTGCAATCTTCACTCCCCTCGCGATCAGCACCCTCTAACATCTCTCCCCCATTCACAGGCTCCACCGGTGCCCCCGTACCGGCGACCTGGGTGTGCGGGTGGTGCGGGCCGCTGCTGCCGCTGACGGGGGGCTGCTCACGGTGGAGACGGTCACCGCGGCCGGGCCGGCCGGCACGCGAGCCCTCATCGCAGGAGGTGAGAGGCGTGATGGATGGAAGGGATGGACGTCGGGCTGTAGAGTACTAGGTGATATGGAGAAAACTTGCGTTTTGGGACGGCCCGAGATGGATCAAAGTTGTCACGGTGCTGGCTCTGTTTCTTTGGAGGCAATACCCATTCAATTTCCTCTCTACCTTATTTTATTAATGTTCAATCACAATCGGCTTTGTATTTCAGGCAGCTAGAGTTTGTTGGATTATCTCATGTGTAACTCAGGACGTGGTCATCTACTTCGATATCTCGTTCGTTTTTGACCTACATTCTGACCAGACCTTTGTGCCACAGTCTGCCCGCCCACATATGTGACGTCAGCCCTCTCCCCTCCGCCGTCAGGTGACGTCATCACGCACATCTCGGGCTGTCCGCTGCGGCCGCTCTCCTACTCTGCCGCCGTGGACCGACTCCGTCGCGCCGTGGACCCCGTCACTCTCACCGTGATCCGCCGCGGCGACGGTGGCGCCGCCTCGCGGACCGACAGTGGCGCCGCCTCGCGGACCGACAGTGGCGCCGCCAAGCGGCCGGCCGATGAAGACGCGGGTGATGGGGATGATGTGAGCCGCGGTTCGCTGGAGAAGCGCCTGTGTCGAGATGGGCCCGGAAGGGAGAGTGTGAATGATTTGGTGATTGGACGGCTGGCGCGACAGCTGAGTGGAGACTGCCTGGCCACGCCGGAGGGCAAACGGTGAACGTGGTCAGCGGATAGGAAACAGGAAACGAGAGGATAAATGGTCACGGGGGAGCTGAGGAACAGCTGCTGCTGTCCACGCTGGGGTCAGTGTCTCAATCGAACAAGGTTTAGCCCAGACAGCCCAGCCCAGTCCAGCCCAGCCCAGTCCAGCTCAGATAGCCCAGACAAGACTCAGACCCAGAGAGATTCTTTGGAGGGGTTGGAACAAGGAATGAATGGGTTTCATATGACATTTTCATCGAAGGACTTGTGGAGTTTTGGTGCCAGTAGGACCTCTGGTATGAATCCTCAAGATTGGCGGGGCGGTGTCCGCTAGGGAATAGTATGTTCTCAACAGCCGTGCTTCTTGAGAACGGAGATAGACTGCCTGAAGATCGATTAACGCTGGGTTTAGGCGGTTCCGTCACCCACTCTCGTCTACTAGGCTATTTATTTGGGCTATTATAACGAGCCAGTTGTGTGTCGAAGTGTGAATCAGACTGATTGGGAATCAATGATGGCGAGGGCATGATGTGACAAAATGACTGGGACAAACGTACGAAGATGCGCCGCTGCTAAATAGTGTGTTACATTCCGGGCGATGGCATTTGAGCAGCACTTTCCTGCTTTGTGTGTGGCTGATTTATTTAACATGAACGCCGTCTTTGCTCCGTTGGCTTGCTGAGGTAGCTGCCAAGTGCTGGATGGATGTGTTTTCTGTAAATATGACGATTTTTGCTGATGCTAATTGCTATGCGACAAATGATGACTACATGAACCTAACTGATCGTGGATGCAGTGGTATGTTTTTAGAGTGCGATGTTTGATTGACGATTTAAGTATTATCGAGATGGATGGGTACTCTGTCGTTCCAAGTGGTGGTGTGTGCCAGTTTGGGATTCGTTTGCTTCGCTTTGCTTTGTGCATTGTAGTCTAGATTAGCTCTTGTAACTGTCTTTATTGCCAGTACTTTGGTTTTCATGGCCTCAATGTGACATGATAGAGTGACTAGCCGTATAACTGTCTGCAGTATTATTATTATCAGGCTTCTTAGTATCTGTCTCGTGTAAGCTTTCTAATGCCTGCCTGTGAGATTTGAGCATTAATCAATGTTTCTTTGCCCCGCCAGTTGTATGCCAGTTTATGTTTTGTACACCAAAGAATAAATGGCTCGTCGCAGAGCAATTTTTTGCTGAATTCGTAAAGCGAGCTGCCACGTCACGGGGAGTTCGCTAACGGGTTTGTTCACCGGAGCTCATGCTACTGCGAGACTGAAAAATAGCTTCATTAGGTATGTACTGCTATGTAATCAATGTATCAATAAAATTGTATTCCATCAGAGTAAACGGTAAAAGACAAGTTCCCGCAACAAACTCCAGCCATTTCTCGTCATTTTGGAGTTTCATCCGTTCCTGGCATTAGTCTATTCGATTTCTTGAAATTGGTTTTGTTTTGAACCACACCGGTGCGGAAGCTGTTCCGCCAGCCAACCGAGGAAACTGGGAATATATTTGAACCGTGGTGAACTGATAACTGAACGAGATGCTGACCATGTTAACCCGCGCCCGGCTGGGGGTCCTGGATTTCCACGCCCTGCTGGGGGGGGGGGGGGGGTGTTTGAACACCCCCCCTTGTAACTCGGCTCCTGGGCCACGTAGCGATACGCGGAAGGCGGCGTTCGAAAGAGCGTCAAAAATAATGACGAAATCACTTCGGTCAATTTTTTGGTCAGGTCAAAGGTCAGGTCACCAGAGGTCATTGAAGGTAAAATTTCGCCGATTTCCAGGTCGAATGTCGAAAATTTCCAAGAAGCCAACGCATAACTCGGGAACCAATAGAGCTACAGCGCCGCGAAAAAGCGCATTCGATAGCCCTATTAAAGCCCTTTCTGAGTAATTCTCTCAGATTTGACCTAACGTCAACGGTTTTGCCTCCAGGGGGCAAAAACTGCAAAAATAGCCGATTTTTTCGGAAACAGTTTTACTGCAATAACTTTTGACCCGAGCCATGTACGAGCTTACTTTCACCGGCATCGTGTTCCTCTCGTCAAGACGCATCGAATGAACTATAACTTGACCTTGAAAGGTCAACTTGAAAATTTGACCTCAGGTCAAGGTCATGACCTGACCGGAAAGGGTCATGTTGCATATCAGTCGATCCGTATCGTCGAGCTGAACACATCTAAGGCGTTTTCATCGCTCTAGCATGCCTCTATCAAAAGTTATTTGCAAAAAACTGTTAGATACCATTCGTGACCTAAGATGACCTCAGGGCATAAACAAGGGTCACGGACACCATTTTCATGTTCAGTGTGTCTAAACCACTTGTAATTCGGTGTTTGGGAGTGTTTATAATGTCTTTCATCCAAAAGAGGCGCATTTCAATTTTCTCCCATTGACTTATAATGGGGAGGTCGCAAAATTGACCTGACCTTAGGTCATCGATATCAAAATTCTGAGATATACATTTTGTACATGCTATTGCTCTTAGCAATCGCTGAAAGTTTCAAAGCGATCGGTCACTCGGTGTAGCTAAGACAGACATTGAAACTTTTTATGAGGTGAGGTCACTTCAAGTGACCTGGTGACCTGACCTTGAATGACCTTGGTCTGAAATTTTCACAACATGTGTAGAATTGATGTATGATAAGGTGTACCAAAAACGGCGGCGCTCCGCGCCGCCGTTTTTGAGATATTCGCGAAAAACCACAAGGGGGGGTGTTCAAACACCCCCCCCCAGCAGGGCGCGGGTTAAAGAGAGTGGACTCGGGAGTAAGTCAAATATGAAATAGTTAGGTATAGGTACGATACGGTCAAATAGAAAAAAAAACTCGGGAGCTGAAATCAAATCATCCGAAGTTACTTCGCGAATCGCTAGCTAAACGTTAGAAGCGAAGTGCGAAAATCGTCGAAGCTGGTTCACTTTTTGGTCACGGTAAATGTTAATAACTAAATTGTGCTCGTCGAACGAAACTCGAATACGTCATAACATACTCGTAGGCGACGGAACGGGGAGGGCACCGGGGCACCGTGCCCCCTTTGATTTTTGCATTGTAACATTAGCCTATGGGTGTTGCATGGAAAGAATGAGACCAAAAGTCGGCAGTGCCCCTGCCCCCCCCCCCCCTCCTTAATTGAGGGTGTTACGCCGCTACTGCGTCATAATCAATCTATGGCAATTGGCTCAGTAACATGGTATAGCGATTTCGAACAGTATTCTAAAGCGCTATGTTGTTGTGGGAAGCCTCAAGCCTGAGAAGCCACATCATGACTGCATGTTGATACAAGTTTTAATCATGCGGAAGATTATGACGATGATTCGTTTGAAGACAAGCGATAACTACAAACGGTCGTTCCTGTCAACACCGTCCATCTGCTTGTTGACGAGTGCAAAACAGGCAAAACACCTTTCTCCCTTCGTTTTATTTTCCAGCCGCATGTATTGCATTTGAAACATTGCTTGCATCTGACTTATTCGAGCCTTCCTAGAGTTCCTGGCAACTGAAATTTTACCAAGGTTTGTAAAATTTAAATACCTACCGTCCTACATACCTACTTTTATCAGCGTAACTACTTAGAATGTGGGTTGTGAATTATGAGAAACTAGTGGATCAAAGACATACTCAATAATATCCCTACTGCTTTATTTCTTGTGCGCACGTTACATATGCATAAGATTTATCTTTAAAAACGTACAGTAGGGGAGAGTGGGGCAAAGCGGCCACCCTAACGCTTCTCACGATGCCAACGCTTGATTTTTAAACTTGTAAAGATTCTTTCTATACCAATGTGATCCCTAGTAAGTTGCCTTTTATTTCAACTGCGTTTTATTTCCAAAGGTGTTCACATATGAAAGATATTGACAAAATTTTAAACCTATGCATATTGTCCACTTTGCCCCATACCCTGGGGCAAAGCGGCCACCGGCGTCTTCTCAAGTCCCGATATGAGAAACAAAATAGTTGCCTCGTGTACGACTAGTGTATTTGATGGTGACAAGTTTAAGCGAGGATGGATGTTTACTTTATCATCTTCCACCTGTAGGTAAACAAAGAAAGGATTTTCATGAAAATAAACATTTAATTGCATTATTTGGTAACTCATGCAACTGAAAAGTGGCCAAGATGAATGCATGACGACACATTTGAATATAGATAATGTTTTTTATCCAGATGGAAGCAACTCATGGCCAATTGGGGTGTGGCCACTTTGCCCCGGCCACTATGCCCCGCGCATACCGTCCGAGGCAGAAATATTCCAGCTTAGCTATTAGTGGGGTAAAAAACATTAAAATTGGTAAAATACATGTACGATAACCATGCAATGCATGGACAAGAACGCTTATAAAAATTCCAAACGGTTATGGAATAACATAACATTTAAAAATTGTAAACATAGTTGGTAGCCTGGCAAGAAATGCTTTTCCGTGTTTCACAGAACAATGGTGATGGGCCTGAAATCCCGGTCTGGCTCATTCGAACGACCGTGAAGAGAAGTATAATTGGAAACCATAAATTGGAACTGACGCCAGCTATGAAGGGCTAAAACGATGGGTGGCCGCTTTGCCCCGGGTGGCCGCTTTGCCCCACTCTCCCCTACACGCATTTAACATAAAAATAGTGTGCCTACTGGTGCAGAATTAACTTTTAATTTGTAATCAAAATTTGTATTGGCATGCTAGAATTCTGTTTTCATTCGGTTCTTGTTTTTCATTGTAGCCGTCAATGATTCATTATGTAGAAAAAGCCAAGGATAAAAGTCATTTAATTTAAGTAACTTCCATGGGCTACCACATTTCTTATTTAGTAGTCATATGCTACCATTTTTTGTCGCAGCTGCGCATATTTTGCAAGCAATAAATAGAGATGAAAGGAACTCGGCATTGCAAAGACTCTAAGACTCTAACTCTGAGCTTCTGATGGTGATTTTATTTATTAAAAGCAACATAGTGCATGAGAGATGGTAACTATTTATGCAAATAGTATTTCAGAATATTTTAATTTCTCAAAAGGCAGAGAGTTAAAGATTTGAAGCCTAGCTGACAAGAAAATTATGCCAACTCACACTATTCCAGCGACTCCTTAATTTGGAGAGTTGCCACCTCTAGTGCCTGGAGGCAGTCAGCTGCTGTGAGCTGAATGCTGATTGGCTAGGCGGCAGACCGTCGCCGCTGTTGCTGCCGCTGGTGGTGCCCGTGTCCGCGCTCCCGTGTAAAAAATAAGAAATTTACCGTGATACCCTATAGTTTCTGTCGTGATTGATTCGTGATTATTTTGGCTAACATATCTTGATACCGGATCATCTACGGAGGTTTTCTTCAGGATTACTTTGGTGGGTATTTTTAGTCGTATTCCCCCCTGTGCGTTTCCTTTGTTTGGAGGTCGCAAAAATCGATAACATGCTTTGGGCACGGACTGCGTGGGCTTGTACCGTTTTTCATGCTTTGCCTATGATTTTTGCGAGTTACTCAGATTAGGTGTAAAATTTGGGTCATAAGGGCATAAATTTAGGCTGCCATTTTATGCTCAATTCTTGTGGTTGGATCTGGATGGGCAAAAAGACTGTGATCTTTATAGGGTAGAGGAAATTAAAACATTCATTTGATAAATTTCAGCATTTTATGCCATACTCATCACATGCTTAATTGATTTTTTTAAACTCATCGGGTGTCGAAGGGTTGGGGTGGAAATATAATTTGACCTGATTCCGCCATGGTTCCGTCATTACCTACAAACTGAAATGGAAACTGATACCTACTTGGTCTGAACTCTGAAGCTAGTAGAAGGTTGATGAATTTTTTTAGGAAGCAGATATGAATTTTTTTAGGAAGCAGATATGCTTAAATGCAACATAATTTCAATTTACCATTTGACAGGAGGGCCCTGCCCTTGTAAAGGACGACGGTGAAAACAGGGCACCTGGGGCGATTTGATCAACGTTCGTGAAATTCACACATGACAATTAGCTTGTGGAAGGCCCACAAAGGGGGAGAAGTTCCAAATGTCACGTGACTAATTTGCCCTCCTCTGTTTTCACTGGCGTCCCTTGTAAAGACCACATTTTATCAGTCATTGGCTATAATTTAAGTAGGTAGTCAAGTTACAGCATTGTGTTTTGTAAAATGATTTTATTTGCTAAGGAAGGTAATTTGCAAAATGCTTACAAGTCCAGTAATGACTGCTTTTTTATTGTTAAGATGTTTTTTTTCTTACCAAGTAGCAAACATCTACCTACCTTTCAGTGATCAGTACCTATATGAAAAGGCACTAAGGTCTGGAGGTCCATATGTCCCAATGGGACTCTTTTTAACTCAGACATTGTCATTACTGAGATACTGGGTTAGAAACTATTTAAAATCAAATAAAAAATTAACCCTGCAATCTTGTAGAGCCTGTAGAGCAGATAATATGAAATTAACTGATTCTTAGCTGGTTAAATGTGAAAAGGCTAAAAGTGCTGGCTAAATGGATTTGCTAAATGTGAAAAACTCAGTTGACTGGCTAGAATGTTTGACATTTTACAAGCTTCTATATTTTAAAGGATTCATCAATCATCAGCCTACGCCTAGCCATATTTAATGTCAGATATAAGCCATAGCACCATCTCAAGCAAAAGTAAGCTCTGAGTAATGTTGGTGAAATTTTGCTATCAGCAATATTTTTGGAAAGCCTTACCAACCATTTAGCTTGTCATGGCTACCAGCCATGCAATGTAACTAGTTGCAGCTTGACTTACAATTGAGCAGCTACTGAATAGCATACTTATTATGAATTCATTCAGAGCCCTACATCTTATATGGTGCACTTCTTGGTTGTGTCCCTAGGCTCATTTGCTCACCCATGTATCAAAATGCAAGTCTTAGTCACACACCTGGAATAATCAGCATTGTGATTTGTGATGCATTGTTCTTTGTATTGTTTTTTAATTCTGCCTCACACTTGTCTCTTCTTTGTTTCAGTGTGGATCATCCTCCCTTTGAGCGCGCTCCGGCCAGCACCAGTGGTGACCCTCCATCCAGTGGTGACCCTCTGACTAGTGACGGGCCGCTGGTGACCCGCAGTGTCAGTGTCAGTGTCAGTGTGTCAGTGGTGAGTGCTGGCGCGTCGCCCCATGCTCGAATGGGAAGGCAACAATGGAAACGGAGACGGAGACAACCTGTCCTTCGAGGACTCGGACAGGTGAGAGAGGATGGGAGGAGGGAAGAGGAATGAGGAAGGGAGGGGTGGGGAGTGAATATGTAAGGTAGAGCACAGGGCACAGAGATGACTGGAATGACTTATCATCGCGCAAACAGGTGACTCCGAACTACTTCTTGCATATACTTTGTTTTGCTATTTTTGTCTGCGCACAAGTATTTCATGTTTTTAATGTGTAGGCGTCTGTCAGTGTATTCCCATATTTGCGAGACATCCATATTTGTAATATGCATTTTTGCATCCGTCTTGCTCACCTTTTATGAACTGTCTTCACCTGTCGCTCGGACTACGGGCGAATATGTTGAAGATACAGAAGATGAAACATGACATTGAATTGCTAAAATTACTGTCGTATCACGCTGAAGGAACGTCGTGTTACGACATACATTTGTGCGTTTTTATAGAACACTGAACATATCTGCCAGTGGCGTTAAATAAGCTAGTGATCTTACGCCTACCCCAAGAGTCTCCTTGCATTTTCGTTTTTGCGTCATTGCTGTCCCCTTCCGGCCCTAGTCCTTCCGTTCTTTGGCGGGGATTCACATCTAACCCCCCCAACGGTTGGGAACAGAAGTATGTGTCTGGCCTTCTGGGAATGCTTTCGGGTTCATTGTGCCGAGAGAAGTCAGGATATCTGGCCATCCCCAGAACACTCCATTAATTGCAGGGTGCATGGCGGCAATTAATGACATGAGCTGCTGTCGGACTTTTTATGGATATTACAACCGTGAGCCGGCGCACTGAGGAGTTAAATTGACCCGTAATTGGCGCCCATTTGTGGCTTATATCCGCGCCATTTTCCGTATTCCATTGTTTCATGGGTCGTTGGTGCGAACCTGTTTTGAAGCTGGTCATAACTTCTGAGATGCTTTTGGGTGTTTGAGTTCGAATATATTGGCTGTAAAGAGCATTATTTGCACTGCATTCTACCTTTGCACTACTCTCATCGTGCTTCCATCATATCCTTATGGTTTCTATTAGCATCAGCCGTTAATATTCTCATTTCCTTAGGTCGGGAGTCCACCTCCCGCCGGTCTTTTGACCTGCGTGACTCTCTCCCGCCTTGTCGCTGTCTCTGTCTCTCCATCTCTGCCTTTGTCTACACAATTTTCACTCCATTCGCCCCCTGGCTGGTTGCATTGTCTTTACCTTTTCTCTACCTATACTCTACCTACACGATGTCTGTGCGTCTGCCCGTACCTCTACTGTGCCGTTAGCGCCTCAGTCCGCCGGCCGGCCGGCGTCGGCCTTGGAGGCCTTGGCCCCGTTCCGTTGTCGCTGGGGTACCTCCACCTGGTCTGACAGCCGGTCCGGTCCTGTCGCCTGATAGGTCGGCTGAAGAGTTTGGAGTTTGGATGTATGGAGAGTTGTGAGGTTTTGATAAAGTTGAGAGTGAGTTAGAGTGAGAGGGTAGGTGTCTGTGGCAGGTCGATTAGGGAGTTAGGAGTTGGAGTTGGACGGAGAGTGAATGAAAGTGAGAGGATATGTGCCGTTAGTGACTCAAGAGTGAAATATCCGTGTCTACTAGCCCATATGATAGGAGTAAGCGGTGGTGTTGTGTTTGGCTTAGATTCATGACTTTATTCTTATTCGGGCTAATATGACTATGCAAGTATCGTCTGGGTTTGAATAATGCAGTTTTGCATCTTGAACCTTCAATCATAGGGGCACGTGGCGCTGTTTGTTTAGGATATGTCAGCAGGTCACATTAGTCTAGGATTGTGTATAAAGATGAGCTCCTCAGAGCTCTAGTCGATGAAGAAAGTGTTCTCGTACATAAATCACCCATTGGTCAATAGAACGCCTACGGTAGTTGCGTAACTCGTCACCCTCGGCGCCGTACATTTGCCGATTCAGCTGTATGGCGCTGGCCCGTCCGGAGGAGTTTGACACTGCCATTGCCAAACAGTGTGACACGGGACCGGCGGTGACACCTGTCTCCAAAGCGCCGTCCGGGCTCTGCTGTTGGGTAACCCAGACATCGGAGATGAAAAATTCAGCACGGGCTGTGGTGCGGGGTCCGTGGGGTATTTGCAGACGTGTTTGTACCTTTTAGTCAATAGTCGTACTTCATGTGATGGATTGCTAGGTTATGCGCTTGCATCGTCGGTAGACCGTAGAAATGCCATATTACGTGCCAATATTTATGATGGCGCAGGATTTACAATTGGATTTATTTGACTATATAGCTAGTAGCTACATAGTAGTCAAGAACCTTTCTCGATACGATGAGTTCGTGTGGATTAGCCTTATCATTTGGCACGCGTCACTGACATTATCAGTGACAGGTCTTGAAACGCTGCCTGATATCACATACAGTAGGTATACACTCGGCTGCTTTGAGTCTGTTGTAGGTCACACAGTAACATTGTCTGCCGTGCCGTCTGCCATGCTGTCTGGTATGATGTCTTACATGATGTCTGTCGCTTTGTCTGCATCGTGTCTGACATGTCTGAAACGGCGTATGCTCTAGTACCTAATCTTGTTTGGTTATGTCCTATATCCTTCATGCTGTCTGTCAATGTGCGTGTCACGCTGTCACGTTGTGTGATGTAATGTTTGACACATCGTTTGACACGTCGAATTCCGCAGCGGCTGGCATTCTTTTGATCATAATGAACCACGCCGCTAATCCCACTGTAAATAGTGATTGTGATAGTTTCACGCATGTACCTGGACCTAATGATTGCTTAGTATTTGGAGACCGAGCTGTTATATAACAGTTTCTCGCCTGACCTTGACCCTGACCTCAACCTGAGTGAGTTGACCCAGCCCCAGCACTTGTTGACCCGAGCAGCTGGGGAGGGATAGGGAGGGAGGGAGTTGACTAAACCGACCGGTTTTTACCGATCGGACGGGTTTTGGCAGCGGCATCTGTTGCGGCAACAATGTGTCCCTAGGGTGCTCAGAGGCCGAGAAATGGGCTGGATAGACTCCAGAGTCAGGGGTCTATCCGATAGACCAGAGATAGACTCCACTTCGGAGCCATAAGATATTAGTTGTTGAGCCCTGTATGGTTGAGGGGCTGAGGGTGCGATCTGGTTATATGCTGGGTCATCTGATTCTGGTTTAGTGGTGTATGTCCCAGTTGACTTTGGATTGGTATTTAGTCGTGGATGCTGAGTCCTGGACTCGAGGTTGTTGCAGTCCAGGCACCTTTAAAATCTTGCTTCATCATCGTTGAAATAGTAGGTCGCTAATGTTGTTATTTTGCGCTTGGTTTACAGTAAGGTAGAATGAGGTTTTACTGTTCGATTAATAAGAGTTGTGACGCTGCATACAACGCTCGGCACTTGGAACGCGATTTGTGATCACGCACTTTAATGTTTGTTTTAGCACCACATGGTAGGAATCGAAGCCCTTGATGGCGAATTAATGCTCGAACTCGTAAAATGTTCACCTCAGAGAGTGTTGCGACGGTTCAAACAGTGTGAACGAATTCCGTATAATGTCCGCGAATGCTTTCATGCACAGCTGAATTATGGATTCATCTTGATTGAGTGTCGTGTGGAACCCGTATTGCGCCATCGCTCTACTGAGGCTTTTGAAGCGGGTCTTCGGCTGTGTGCTAGTTGGGAAATGATGCTGGCCTTCCCAACTGTACTTTTGGGCCTTAAACTTCCCCTAAGAGAGAGCTGAATGAGGCATTGCTTTGGTTGCTCATTCGCTGGCTAAAGTTATCCCTCTTTGTGCCTTTTGCGGTGAATGGCGTTTGATCAAGCCCATTACATAAGCACCGACCGTTGACCCGTGACCTCCTCTGGCTAGGAAGGGGACATCATGAGCGGGGTCTGTTTAAACCTAACGGATATCGATCTTTGTCGCAATTAGGGGACGTGTTTTTAGAAGTGGGGGCTACCATCACTATCTCCCGCCCTCATGATCTGAAATCTGGGGGACTTATGCTTGTCGTTTCCACGTTCCGAACCTCTGACCTGTTACCTAACCTGACATGACCTGACCTTTCCTCAGGTTTGAGGACAGTTTGTTCTCTTGAGTCTCGGAGTAGGAGTCTGTCTGTACCAACTGACCCCCTCTGACCTGACCTGACCTGACCTGACCTAACCAGTAACCTCTCCCTCTCAGTTTTGAGGACAGTCTGTGCTCGTGGGTCTCGGAGCAGGAGTCGGTGTGCACCAACTGACCCGCTGTGGCCTGACCTGACCCCACCTCTCCCTGGCAGATTTGAGGAGGACAGTCTGTGCTCGTGGGTCTCGGAGCAGGAGTCGGTCTGCACGAACTGGCGCGGCTGGAAGAGACCGACTGTGAGCCGACTGCCTCCGCCGCCCTCCGCATTCTACTCCAGCAAAGACGAAGGTCAGTCCCCTCAGGAGTGATAAGAGGGTTGAGAGGGATGGGGAAAGGGAAAGAACGATGGAGAGAGGCGGATGGGTGAATAGGGGTGAAAAGATGTAAGAGAATGTGAAGGCTTATAAGAGTGAAACGAACTGAGAGGAATGAAGTGTAATAAGTGGGTGAATAGGGGTGAGGCGGGGCTAGTAACGGGACATGGGTGCGAACTGGGTCAAAAAGATGACTCGGTTCGCGTATTTAGAGCGGTTGCCTAAAACTTATTGGCTGGATGCGACCCTGGGTGAAGCGGGAAATACTTGCCGACAAATGCATAAACATTTAATGGTTCTTCGTGGACGTAGGTACTCTTGACAAACTCATATAAACTGACAGCTTGTTCCTCTGAATATGACTATGTCAGTTAGGCCACATTCTTACGTCACGTCAGTCTATTTATGTTTGCTGGCGCCCGGACAGCATTTCGTCTCCGCGGATACCGCCACGGACTGGGACCACATTCTTGGACACGTATTTGACTCGTGGGCCATGAGATGTTATATGGGCCACGTAGCCAAGCATCGCTACTTAGCCGCTCGATAGTGCTTTAGCCACCTGCCGATAAATGGATTACTTTTACTTCATAAACTGTATTCTGTTATATAACTATATACCACATTCTGGCTCATGGCCCACGTGTCAGCACGTTGTCCACGTGTTGGCACGTGATGCACGTGCCGTGGCCAGCTGGTCTATGTTTGCCGGCTCGTGGCCAGGTGGGGGGAGGTGGACGGGCGTTCTTCCGCCCCCGGTCGCCGACCCCGGCCGGCCGACCGGCCAGTTTGGTGGCACTCCACTCCCAGGGCTGTCTTTGTCCGCGACAGACCAGGCTCCCCAGGCCAGCTGCTGCTATTATTAGTGCTTGTTGGGATGTATTTCCGTTTTGTTGACGACTTTTGGTGACAGGAAGGAATAAGGACATACCTAAATGTTGGTCGTTTGAGAATTATTATGCATATGAGTGAGATCGTATATCATTGTATAGTGTATACGCATTCATATTGTATGAAGTTGATAAGGGGAAATCGCCGTTTTTATGCGCGATCCGTTGTCAACACCCACCCGGTGTTTCTAACTAGCGCATGCAGTTTAGGTCCACTCATGTGAACGAGCTCCTTAATGCCCAATTATGCCGGCGTATCAACGATATCCGCGTTATGAACTGAGCCCAGCGCAGTAGACACCCATAACTGTCCCTAATCGCGGCGGTTGCCATGGTTACCCACCACGCCACTCCGTCTGATAATTCTGCGTCATGTTCCAACTCTGCAGCCCTGCATGGGTGCAACAGGACATCATAGGAAACCGGCGCCTATTTGCTGGAATCTGGTCGCCTACGCTCGCTGAAAACCAGTCGTTGAACGGCATTTCCTATTGACAACTGGCGCACGTGTGGAGCTGGACGGCGGCGAGTGACCTCAGTAAAAATATACAGCGGCGGTCGACATCACGCTAACATCGAACTGGTGGGGGGAGGAGAGAGAGGAGAGAGACATGGGTGACGTTTGGTGCAGGAGTCATGTTGTGGGATAGTATAGTGGGAGGGCTGTTTGCGGATCATTGCCTTGTTTCGGTGGGGCGGAGTTTGCTTGACGCTATGAGCAGGCACTCGTAATTATGACGAACTTGAATCCGAACATATGTTTCACAGGTAAAAATTTCGTTTTATACTACATCGGACGTGAAAGAAACAATCCCTCATAAGGATACAAGCATCCGCAAGCAGCACTGTACCACTGTACCATAATTAAAAAGATATGATTCACCAAGTGTCATCTTTTTCTTTATCAAATGCCAAACATTTAATAACCTTGAACATCAGTGCGTATGCGATATTGGCGCGGCTTTGTTTTGGTTCACGGTACGGTTAGCCGTAGTTCGCTAACCGTACTCCGCAGCGGGCCCGACTGGCTGCGGCGCTGAGCGGTAGGTACCGTGGACGACGCTGGCAGTGTTGCAGGTACGGTGGTTGGTAACCGGTCCATAGCGGTGTCTGTCTGTCTGACCGACCGGCCGACCGCCAGACGACCGATGGACTTTGACGACCCCGCCGGTCACGGAACGGACAGACATACTGACACGGACGGACAGACATACTGGCACGGACACACGAGCGTACTGGCACAGACGCACGGGCATCGATCTACTGAGAGTTCAGTAGTAGACGGACAGGCTGACGGACACTGCAACCTGAACATACTGGTACAGAAATAGGAACACCATGCATTACATTACACATGCATGCATTTATTGCATAGACAGTACACAAGGCACAGACGCATATGCATGGGTGCATACTACACAGTCACACATCTACATACATTTACACGCGGGCGTATCTCATTGCCCATAGATGCACAGACGCTGACACAAACTCTTGACAGACTGGCACCAATATAGCTACCTAAACACGCAGTACACAGACACATGCAGTTGTTCACGCACACACCCCAGAAACAAATGCAGACTTTATATAGTCTTGTAGTCGGGAAGTTTTTGTCATTTGGATGCTGTCCGACTGTCAAACGAAACCTCACAACTAATCTGTCACGCTCACTCTGTTATCCACTAAGCCCGACGCTCCTTCACAACAGATGCTCCTCACTCTCTCTTATTTCGTTCAACGTTCCTCCACAGCTGTCTCGCATAAGAAACTCTCTTTGAGCTGATGTTTGTTGCACAACTTGATCGCTTTACCCGTTACACTAGTCGGGGGTCGCCGGCCGCTGGGCTCGCACGTGTATGACGAGAACTGGCGTAGGTATGTGCGTATGTTTTGGGAGAGAGAGAGTGGTAGTCTGTAGTCGGTCAGCTGAGCGCCACACCGAGTGGCATTAGCCGTGTTTACATAGGGTTCCCTTAATCTTCCCCTATTTCTCCCCTATTTTCAGATCGAATTTTAGGCATCATAGCGATCGCGTGTAACGTTGCTATGGGCGCTATTGTTGTTAGAAGCATACAAAGCATCGTTTATGCTGTAAACAATATAAATTGGGCTTATTTAATACTCGAAATTCAACAATTCATATTTTGAAGTATTTTTATCCTGCCCTTCAATTCCCTCTTTAAGCGACAAATAGGGGAGGATTTGGTAGCGTAGCGCCTTTCCAAAAGCTGCTACGCTACCATATCCAGTGGTTCTCAAACTATCACATCACAAAAGCGGCGTGCTGATTGGCCGGCAGTTCCGAATCGTCCGACTGGTGGTCCCCGACTCGACAAGCGCACGTGCGCCGACTGAGGATTTTTAAGTGGCATTAACGCATAAACGGCAGAAAGTCAAGGCAGAAATTCGACAGGTGCGGTGTTCTGATATTGCTGTGGATATGATTACACCTACTTGAATAATAGCTCAGCCGTTTAAAGTATGTTAAATGCCAGATAGTTTTCTGATTTTTCTTGCTTTGAGCTTTCATGTGCTATCACTTTTACCTCAGTGTCTAGTCTGGAAGCTATTTGGGAGAGCCCTAAAGGTAAGTAAAAATTGCAAACTGTTTCTAGAATGACTTAGTTGCGCCATATTTGTAGTGAAGCGAGGTAAAGGAGACAGAGGATTCCTTTATAAGGGACATTTAAGAGACAAATAGGGGAAGATTAAGGGAACCCTATGTAAACACGGTTACTGTCAGCTGAGGCATCTGGGTGCATATATGTTGTCTAACAAACGTATGAAAAAAGAGATCTAAAGTGCAACTGATGTTTATGGACGTGCCTGCATACGAAATAGAGGTGTCAATTTCAGAAATTTCTTGTCCGATGTCCGTCCAATGTCCAAAATCCTAGCTCACTTTTGTCCGAAAAATGTCCAAAGCATGGATTTGTCCGAAAAATGTCCGAAAGCTGGATATGGAAAGAGAGGATGGTAGAATTGATCTATATTAGGTACATGTTTGTATGTACCACATGATAACTAGAATAACAGATATCCGCCACCTGGTTTTGAGTGCAAAATATTGCAAACTAAAAATGTCGAAGCAATATCATATGCAATAGGGAATGGGCATTTGGGCAATAGGCCTAATCTTATATACAACACAAACAGCATATTGAGACAAGCCTATTCTGCTTCAAAATGTGCTACAGCCTATAACTGAAGCTGAGTAAGCAAGAATAATGCAAAACATTGCATTATCCCTCAAATTTGCGTTCTCAAAAAGGTATTGACTTCTTGCCACAGCCCACACCCCTTTGACACTAAGCCACCTGATGATGAATAATACAGCAATAATGCAAGAAGCTAGTCACTTACAATAATGATGCATATCTTCATCTTATATCACACTGGCTGAGATGTAAAGTTTGAGCTTCTTGCAAAAGCAAAATTGAAATAGTTAATGTGAGAAGAACATGTGAGAAAGGTACATCTGGAAGAAACGTGCTCTTCACGGAGCCACACATCTCTAAATCCAAAAGAATAAGCGATCACAAAAAATAAAATTACTTGCTATGATTTAACACAAATTCACTAAAATTCACAAGCAAAAAGAAGTTGTAATCATTCTTGGTAGAATGAAAACACATTTCATGCTACCATTCTCGGTAGCATGGAACATGGTATCCGGCCTTGAGTCGATGATGTGAAAGTAAATCAATAATATGACGTCATTATCATTTCATTTGTCCTATTGAAGTGCATTTACCATTTGTTGTTTGATAAAAATTCAATATTTATTGCAAAGTAATATAATTTTTCGAAAATTATTCAATTGTGAAGCAAAATGACTGTATTTATTGTTTAAGACGTCATTTTTTTGTCTCCTCTGATTCTCATCGGGGGGCCATCTTTCCTTAAGTGACATTTATGACGCTTTCGCCGCATTTCATCATCTTTTGGTAATCTGTTTTTGATAGGCTGTTTGCATATTATGTAGCATTTTAGTCGATATTTCGGCACGGAGTTTTTTTTGGGGGGGAAGAGGTAGAAGAGAAGGGGATGACTTTATGATAGGAGGTTCTAGGTAAGACTC